TTTCAAAAATAAACTGTGCTCATTCATTTTTGTCTGTGCCTCTACATTTGTGTTTGAGTACCAGTGCCCCTTATATTAAATGAGGAGCCCTGACTTCACTTCATTATAGTCTTCGCTATGCTGTAGTTCACATACGAAGAAGTCATTTGCATGTGAGACAGGAAGCTGGGGGCTTTTTAAAAAGAACAACATTGTTTACAAACCAAAATAATGCAAGTTTAAATGTAGACGATACCATTCAGTGGAGAGATGCAACTGTCAGTAGATTGTTTTAGTTTTGTCTTTGTAATACTTATTAATAATCGTGGCTAGTACTACGTTTTATTTCCAGGTTCTCTGTTTGTCTGCCTGATGAAACTGCATTATGGGTCGTCTGTGCTAAAGTCAATGCACAGTAATTAAAGTAACCCATGGTTTACATAACATTGGAAGTAAAACTGTTGTGTAAGCAAATCAGCATGGGGTGACGTACTTTTCTGTCTAATGAGTTATATTCAGCCAGACATTTGGTTTCTACACTTTAAAGCCCCTATAAACTTGGCTTTGAACCATGTGTACTTCTCTGTAAAAGTATATTATAACTATACAACTAAAACAATCAATTATTAACTTACATTTCAAATATAATTCCAGGGAATGGTGTTTTTTATTTTAACATTTAATTACTCAGGACTGTGAGGACCATGCTTGCTTACTATGTAGTTGTTTTTTCTTTTAAAGGTGTGTACAGTATAATTCATTAATAACCTTTATTGGAAATGAATCTGTCATAAGGGTTTGGATAACATATTGGGTAAGGATCGTGGGGCTCAGATAAATCAGACAAATACAACTATTTTAGTTTTCACATGAATGTTATCTCAGAGAAACCCATAAGACATTTAAAAACACATCCACCACCTGTTGCTCCCATGCCTCAAACTGCATAGTAAATTAAAGGTGGGGTAGGTAAGTTTGAGAAACCGGCTCGAGATCGCTAGAATTTGAAAATACACAACCGGAGAAAATCTGCCACTTCCTTATAGAGCCCCTCCTCCAACACACACGAACGCGCACATGACCAATGAGGGCACGAGATAAGTTTGTGCACAGATGGAAGGCTGACAGGCAGGTAGGCCATCCAGTTATTTTAGCCGGGCCGGCTAAAATGATTGGTCGTGCTTTTTACAGTACTACGGCTTCCACAGATGACATTTCTTTATGGATTTTTTGTCAAAGCACTTAAGATATTCATTGCTATCGGGATGTTAAGAGCATTCCATGGAATATAACAAAAAGTGTATCTCGAGCCGGTTTCTCAAACTTACCTACCCCACCTTTAACTAAACGAACCTAGACTATTTCAGAGGAAAGAGAAGCTGGTGTTGGGTGTGATACAGCTACTGTATATGTACTCAGTCATACCTGGTATAAACGCTGAAAAACAGAAGCCCCTGAGCCCTGTTGCTTTCAAACACCACCCTACCGTTTAAAAGCATTGTGTCTACAGCCAGGATATAATGTGCTCCAGACTGTGAGAAGCTACAGTGATGAACGAGCACTGCATTCATCGCTGCGTTCCTCGCTCCGTCTCTTCCTTCCTCTCTCGTCGCCCAAATCCATCCATCATGTCAGTGAAAGCTGAGATCTTTCAGGATCGCAGTCATCTGGGGTGAATTTCACAGTGGAACAGGAAAAAAGCTTTTCTACCGAAGTGAGCCTGTGACCAAGTTCCTCTGACTGACAGTCAATAGATTCTCATTAGACGATTCTTGAGTTTGGACAGGAGGAGCCCCTCTCCCTGAAGCCCAGGGGCCCCGAGCCGGCTGTCATGCCCGGGCCAGCAGCCTCTCACTGGGCCAGGCTGCCTTCCTTTTGGGAGGCTCAACATTGGACAAGTCTGACAGCCATGACTTATTCATGCCCTATCTCCCCTCTCTAATCAACTCGTCACACACTGAGCCAGCACTGAGGGACAGGCATCCTTTTCTGAGAGGATAAATCTTTACTCTCACCTACAAATCTGAAGACATAGAGACAATACAGTTCAGGATGAGCAGCATATACTGCTGTGTGTTTCTGTGTTAGACTGAACATAATGTATAAGATTGGAGTAATTAACAAGCTTCTGCCATTAGGACATCCCATATAATCTTCTCAGGTGGATTTTCAGGTCAAGACAGGGCAGAACAGGAGGTGCAGAGGAGAGTAACAAATCTGATCTCTTCATGTGTAATGAGCTAGAACGCCTCTGAACAATCAGAGCCTTGCTAATGAAGTGAATGCCCACTCAGAGCATTCATTCATGGGGTTATGTCAGTCGCCCCAGTACGGGGAATGGACACACCAGTGAAGCCAGTCCATCACATGGCTTTAGCAGTGGCTGGCTGTGCCATCCGCTGCCAACAAAGCCATGAATCTCTGCCCCTCTCTGGCCCCATCTCTGCAGGTTTCTGTCCTTTAAAGACTCTAGAGAAGCTTAAGATAGCCAAAATAGCTTCAGATTCTGTTTATGTACCAAGCTCTTTGGCATACAAAATATTATTCAGATTTTCTAAATAGTCAAATAGTGGAAGAACTTCTTAAATTCAGAATTTTAAATCTTGCATGATATTCTGAAAGGAAAATAGTCTGTGGACACATGCCAACTAAGGTTTTGAAAACAGGGGCGGTTCACTTAAATGTACTTTCATCCATCCATTCATGACTGGAGCAGTCTGTGAATGAATTAGTGCATTACAAATACCACTCATTGAGAATGTGCTAGTATCATCTGATTATAAGGTTTATCTTTAGGAAATAGATGTACAGCAGTGGAGAAAAATCTTTCTCATTCTGCAGCATGAGAAAGAGAAAAAATAATAATTCACCACCTCTAACCCCTTCATCTTCTCAGTCACTTACACTAAGTTCCTTCCAATGCCTCCCTCAGCATCTGTTCTATTGATTTTCTCTAATTGTTTCAGGTAAGCTGATCCTGTGTCAGCTGTGGTTTACAGTACCAGCCGAACAGACAGCAGGCGGTACAGCTCCAGCAGCAGCTCGACCGGAGAGATGAGACTGGAGATACAGCCGTCTCTGTGAGATGGGGACATTTAAGATGTGCTGCTACAGCCCACAGCATGACCTAGAAGGACCTCTGTCGAGCGAAATGCCTGAGAGGAGGGTCACAGTTGGGGCCATCTTGGATGACATGGCACAAAGCAGCTGACCGGTGGGTGGTGGGCAACAGTTCAAAGGCCCCTCTAACTCCTAAAACCTTCCTTCCTCCAAACTGCTTCTATTCAGTGCACAAAGAAGCTACTTTCGGTCGCTAGGAACTGAAAATGTCTTATAGAAACATGAGAAAATAAATGATTAAAGGACAGAACTCAAGAGACATTTTGTATCGCTTATGTGGCAGCTGCTTCTTTCACTTATGGGTAAACACAAATCAAAATAACAAATGAAAGTCAATAAAACAGGAAATGCTGCTATAAATATTAAAGATTATTTGCACAACTGTGTAAATACTGGAATACGAAATTAATTCAAAACTGTTTACAAATAAAGAGGGTTAATGCTATTAGGAGTCAATCCAAGGTATGGAATTATGTAACAGAACTTAAGGTGGGAGTTTTCTATAGAAAAGGAAACAGATCATGAATGCTGTTGCTATTACAGTGTGCTAGTGTGGATGATATCCAGGCAATCTAGAGGGAATACTTGATCTTTACTGAGGCTCACAAGATTTAAATTAAATTGACAAGGAGCACAAGAAAAGTACATTGCTGCACCCAATCTACACCTAATATTTCCCCCAATAGATCTCACAAAAAAAGCTGGTATCATCATGTGTGCTTTTCTGTCTCATTATAAAACCTTGGTGACAACTTTTCTGGGTCAGAGATTATTTATCTGAGTTTTGCAAACAACAAGCAAGATGCAAAGATAAATGCAACCACACCAGAGGGATGTGGTAGGCCACAAGTCTCTCTCATCATCTGCAGGACGAACAAGCACTTCAGCGTAACGCTTCGAGGTTTAAAACTAAAACCAACCAGGCTGACCACAGCAATCAATGCTTCAAAGGATTTAAGGAAATATTGAGCTTCGACTTGGCTAAGGCTCTGCAAGCCCCTTTGAGACATGACACTAACACTGCCCATGCCATTTACTCGTATTTTCCTTCAGAATTGCACTGTATTGTCTCAACATATTCAGTTGTATACACTTATAAAAGAGGACTAAGTTAGGTGGGCTAACATTAGCTCTTCATTCCAAGTAGCTGACGTTTGCTGCGATGATGCTTGCTAGCTCGCTATTTTCGTAACGTAATTCCTCGTAGTAAAACAGCCACATGTTTATCCACGCTGACACTATGTATACATCTACAATGAATAACTTCAAGGATAACGTACCTATACATTGGCCCACGGGAGTGCCGTACGGATTTCCAAGTAAGAACTCCATTTTGACAACAAACAATCCGTTTGGGATTGACAAGAGGCTGAGGCCCCGAGGCGGTACTAAGTCCCGCCCACAGAGGAATGCTATTGGTAAAAAAAACTGAAAGCTCAAGGCGTATGGCTGGAATCAACGTCAGTTATATTTAGCAACGAAAGCTATGTTCAACAAACAGTTGTATAATTGTTAACCACCATATAAACATGTATTTTACTTAAAAGCGCCGTATTAGTCTATACAATGTTGAGAAATACACAAACAACGATATAAACAATTGACTCGAGTATTCATCCTCTGAATATATTGTATATAAATGTACATCAGGTTGATTCACTGGGTATTTTACTTCATTGTAGTTGAAAAAAATAACGATAAAAAACTGAAAACTACGTTACACCAAGTCTTAGTTTCATCGTGGGCACCATTATTTTTAATGTGTGTGGTTATTATATTCATTCACAAGAAAAGCAAGAATGTTCGGAGTCGAGCGTTTATTTTTACAGCATTTTTGGAACATACTTGAACGCAGCTTAGGTTCAGCCGGTTGCTATGTAACAGTGTGTAAACAAACGCGGCAAGAAGTTAGAGTTTATCTAGCTAAATTAGGTAATATTGCATTGTTTGTTGTATTTAAAATACTTTTGCAGTTTTGCTTACAAGTTGTTGTTTTTTGGCAAATGTTGGCTATGATGTTTGTCTGGTAAACTCATTTAAATCTACAAAATACAATCTACTTTCTCCTTTGAGCAGTGGGAGTGAAGTAAAGCGTACCCTACAAGGATGATGAGTCGTGGTATTTTGATGAATGAGGATTTGCTGCAGCGGGCAATATTGGAGCAAGAACCTAAAGATAAAGGTCAGGGCATTGCCAATGAAGAGGGAACCCAGCTCGATGAAATCCTTAAACTATGTCTGGAATTCAGAAGTAAGTAAAATAAAATGTGGTTTATGACTGTGTTTTGGATTTCAGGTATTTGAAGGTTGTTTGTTCACAGACATCCTGAGGATTGACCACTTATGGGAATTCACATCCTTGGCCAGACTCAATCTGAATAACAACCTCATTGAAAACATTGAGGGTCTGGATCATCTGATTAATCTGACATGGCTTGGTAAATTAAGTTTTGTTTTTTATGTTTTGCTATGCTTTCTTTAAATGATTGTGCAGGCTTTATCAAAGATGTGGTCTTAAAATATGAGCCCAGTAACTTTGAGTAATAATGACATTTACTCCGAATATGTCTTTTAGATCTGTCATTCAACGGCATAGAACTAATTGAAGGTCTGGAGTCCTTGCAGAAGCTTGAACTGCTGAATTTGTCCGACAACAAAATCTCTGTTCTCGAAAACATGGAAACACTTGAGAGACTCACTCATTTCTCCATTGCGAACAACCTCCTTGGAGAGTTGGACATCGTACGACAAAATTTTCTTGTATAAATCTGTCACATATGTGTAAAATGCTACATTTATATTGCAAGATTAATATAAGACTTGTACTTTTGTATTTGATTAGTTTCATAATATAAAATAACATAATCTCATACAATTTGAATGCATTTCAAAGGTGCTCTATCTCAGGAAGTTCAAGAACCTGTTCAACATCAACCTATTTGGAAACCCTTGCAGTAAGGAAGACGATTACACATTGTTCATCGCAGCCTTCTTTCCAGACTTGAAGTTCCTAGATTACACTTTACTTGACGAAAATACAGTAAGTATAAGTGCTGTGTTTTTAATAAAACATTAGTATGCCTTAGTTTGTGTGCAAATTCCACATGGCTATTTACATTTTGTTGTGATGATATTGTATAACAATGTGTCTATGTCTTGTGTGTCTATGTACAGAAGAAAGAAGCATCTATCAAACACCGCTATGTCCTCGAGGAGATAAAATGTGTGGAGCTGCACAAGCAAAAAGCTGAAAAAGCTGATCAACGCAAGGAGGCTGAAGCCAAATTACACACTGTAAAGTGAAGCTGACATGTGGTTATCATCAACATTATATTCCACTGAGCTCTCATATTTCTTATACTTACTTTGTAAAAATGATGTTCCTGATAGGATGCCTTTGTGGAGTTCCTGAATGGCTCTGACCTGTTTAAGTGCATGTTCAACGACGACCAAGAGGCAGATAAACTGCACCGCATGCCTGAAATCACTGATCTGCTTCTAACATATCCTTTTAAACCAAATGTAATAATAATAATTTGTTATGTAATCACAGGGGAGAAAAAAAACTTGAATTCCTTAACCATACCCTTACATTTGAGAAACAAATGGGGGATCTGTGCAAGCAAGTATTTGAAACAGGCTTGGCTGAACATAAACGAAGGGACAAAGAAGTGAACTGCTTTTTCAGTGGTCAGAATGAGACTGTGATTGAATATCAGCAGAAAGCATTGCACATATTGGCAAACTTCGAGCAGCAACACAAAGAGGTAAGGTGTTAGGACCAGACTGTTTTCAACTGTACTGTATAGTATTTAGATGAACCAGTAAAGCAGCTTTTAGCAACCAATATAAGGATGTTTGTCTTGTTTTTATTTCTAGAGGACAGTGGACATGCGGAAGTTATCAGACAGAGAATTACTGAAGGTCAAGATCAACCAGTGCAATGATGAAATCAACCAACTCTGTAAAGGCCTCATGACGCTGGAGTTTCAGATGGTCGGCCAGCTGGAGGTCAGTGTGTGTGTGTGTGTGTGTGTGCGTGTGTGTGTGTGTGTGTGTGTGTGTGTGTGTGTGTGTGTGTGTGTGTGTGGGTGTGTGTGTGTGTGTGTGTGTGTGTGTGTGTGTGTGTGTGTCCACATTCTATACATTGTATATCTTACATTTATTCATAAAACTGCACTGTGTCTATACATTTTAAGTCTAAGGTGACACGTTCAGTTGCCTAGTTTATAGTAGATTGGATATATATAGATTCAATTATTTAGCAAGCTCCCACATGTCCAAAAATGTGTGCTATTTTTATTTTATTTATAATTCTTCTTCGTAATGAAGCCTTCTATTCATTTCAGGATATCACCAAAAGGTTGGACATCAACATCTCAGAGATGGTTGGCTACTTCACTGAAATGGTCCAGGGGATATATCCTTTCTGACTGTGCATCAGCTCATGAGCTTTAAATAATTTCCAATAACACATCTGTTCCCAGGGTCAAACTATTGAGATAATGTTTTCCCTGATTTGGGGAAGAAACTTGCTCCAGGTCCGATTGTAAAATAATCAAATCTGGTTTGCATAGCAATTAACCGCTCTTTGTTGACAGAAAATCAATTATGTCTAAATGTCTGTGCACATGTCTGCACACACACACACACACACACACACACACACACACACACACACACACACACACACACACACACACACACACACACACACACACACACACACACACACACACACACACACACACACACACACACACACACACACACACACAGTTATGGTAAGAGGATCGTCAATCCAATTTAGACTTTCCTTGACATATTCATACATTTGCGCAATGTCGAGATCTTGAGGATGATTATAATGGGAAGGTGCGAGTGACTGCTTTAGCACTTCTGGACGACGCCAGCAAGGACAACCTGGATGAATTCTTGCCAGATGATGTTAGAATTGTGAGTTTTATCCTTTTTACGATAGAATATAGAACTATTTGAACTAAAAATAATTGTATCTCTCAGTTGTGCTCTGATTAATCTTAAACAGAACTGTGACCAATGAAAAAGAAAAAAACACCCACAAAATTAAAGAATATTGTCATATTGTGTTGAAGATGCTGTGTATTTAGCACATGTAATTTAGCATATATATGCAAATAAATATGATATTGCAAATTCTCATTTGAATAGATTCCCCTGATAAGAGGACAAAGATGAACCTGAATGAGTCAGAGAACATGGACTATCACCAATGTCAGTGCTGTCTCCCCTGTGTTCTCTGTGTGCAGCTGTTTACAGACAAAGAGACAGTGATGGATGCACTGGCAACCGGCCACGATAACCACCTGATGAAGATCAATGACCGAGAGACTCAGTTGGTTTCACGTGCCAATTCCTGGAAAGTGGCCCTCATTAAAGGGGTAAAGAGTTGAATTTACATTAAAACAAACAGCCCATTTTTATTTTCATCTGGATGACAAACCTCTCCCTTTTATCTCACAGTCTTGTTATTGTTTTGCTTTTTTGATTTATGTGTTATTTCAGATTCAAGACAAAGACCTTAAGGAGAACCGCATGCGAATCAAAGACCTCCACAGATATATGGACCATCTGCTGGTGCAGCTGGAGGACTTTCAGTAGCAGCATCATTTCAGTAGTATCTACTTGGTTACACAAACAAACAAAAATATTACAAACTCTAAAGTTCTGAATAAAAATTAGTTATATGCAATGATTCAAACATGTGTGGTTAAATGCTTTCTAAGGCTAAAAAAAATAAGTAGTGTGAAAAATAAGAATGTGACCAAAAGATGAGGGGAAATCCTGTTAAATGCTATCTTATTTTATGCTCTGTGTTGTCATATTTAGTATGTATAACACAAACTAAATACATATGTATTTGTATCCAGACTTGTGGAATGTTGGATTAAAAACATTTGTGTTACCCATAAGTCTCTCACTTGTGTTTGTAGTGTAGTATGAAATATCCTACAACTCCCAGAATGCACCTCGGGATGTTATCCAATAAGACTGTTGCTCCAGCCGAGTACCAGATTCCAGCCAATGAAATTCAAGAAAGCTGGATTCTGGAGTGAAACGTTGCAGTATGCCTCCTCCGTAGACAGTCCATGGACAGCTTGAAAAATTGAGACAAAGTTTGGGGTTTTGTGCCGCTGGCAGCCCCTCTGTCAGGACTTTTTCTCTGTGCAGCCGTGGTGTGCTCAGTCATAAAGTTCATGACGGTTGCTGACGGTGACACTTTAGCGCTCATCATGCCTGTCCGAGCAGAGTGCTGCAGTATCCCCGGCTCGGCCTGCACATCCTCGGCCTCTCTTGTTCCCCCTGCCCCGATCAACACCTCCCAGCCGGGGGTGGCCATCTCGCTGCTGTACAGCGGCTCACAGTTTCGGGGCTTTCAGAAAAGCAAAGGCAACTCCTACGCCGTTGAGGTTGTTTTGCAGGTAATGTGTTTTTGACACGCACTTTTTTTTTAAATCATTAGTTTTTATGGTTATATGCAAAGTCAGCATATTTGTACACCTAGTTGCTAACTTTGCTGACATTAGCTTGGTAAGATCTTTATGGTTGTCATACAATGCTGACACGTTGACACGTTTATTTGGCAAGGTTTTTACTGTGACATTTTGAGTTTGGACTTTTTTGCAATAACTAACATTATCGTTGCCCATTTTGTAGTATTTTTACTACCCAAAGACGTTAGCATTTCTTGCAACTAGCTACATAAATATGTATACATATGAACCTCGTAGCATTGCCTTTGACAGCAATTTCTGCAAACTTACTGGAAGTAAATATAATGCCTGAATGCCTACAATATGTCTCTGTATAGAGCACTTCTGCTGTTTTTCATAATTTTTGTCTAAATCTGTTTGCAGCATGTGACTGTGGAGGACTCCTATTTGTGTGGATACCTGAAGATCAAGGGGCTGACTGAGGTGAGCTTTGAGATAGCTCAGATGTAGTAACACTGACCTTTATTCAGTCATAGAATAAGCACACACTGTTAAAAACAAGTGGGAACTGGTTTCTACTTGCTTGGTGCAGGCTAAACTGTAACAAATATTTGAAGGTAGACAAATATTAGGCCTCTAGGCTTGACCTCTTCTTTCAGGTCCGTAGCGTAAGTGTGTCAACTGTATACCCATGACATTACGCAACATATGGAGGGGGAAATGTCAACAGGATCCTGAAGTGAAGTGGCTGTGGTAGAGAGGCATGAAAGACGAGGAGCCAACATTTGTGTGGTAGTAATGAGACATATTATTTTCAACTGATACGTTGTTTATGAGAAATAAAGGTAGAGAACAAACTGTTATCTGCTCACATCTTATTTAAGTGTATGCCCGAGTGCATCTGCTTACTGTCAAACAACTACATGCAGGAAGTCAACATGCAAAAGGATGACGATTCTCCCTAATGTTTGAAGATGAACAAGTGCATGTAGATATCCAGAATGTGAAAAATGGCTACTAAATAATTGTATCTCTTACTTCATCTGCTGCATAACATTTGCATTTTATAAACAGGAAATGCTGGAAATCTAATCAATCTCATGTTGCACAGTGATGGCTTGACAGAACAGTTCCCTTTTAAGCATTTTGATAACAATATCCAGGCATACACTTTGGAAGCAAATTAAACTACAATTCATGTATTAATGTTCTCTTCCCTTTTGTCTTTGTTACAGGAGTATCCCACTCTCACAACGTTTTTTGCTGGTGAAATTATCAGTCGAAAAAGGCCTTTTTTAACTAGAAAGTGGGACGCTGATGAAGACGTTGACAGAAAGCACTGGGTATGTACAGTTTAACTTTTAATTTGGGTTAAAATTAATGGTTGTTACTTTTTCTGTTGGATTTTGCTTGGTTATATATCAATGCCAAATGAAGTAAGACTTTTTTTTAAATCAAGTTTTATATTGACCAACAGCACAAATATGGTGCAACATTATTTGTGCATTCATTGGTTTAGTGTTTGCAGGTGTTTTCAGAGGCTTGCATCAGATGAATATACACCATAACACCAGAATGTATACATTTACTCCGCAACCACAACATGAGTAGCCTTCAATATGATGGGAAAGGCACAGTAAAAGTTACGTTCACCCAAAATGCTGTAAGCATCTGGAATCTGCAGCTCTTTATCTAACCAGTTCAGTGTTTCCCACAGAATTTGATTCTATTTGTGGGGGCACCGCAGTGACCGCACCGCACCTTCCCAAAATATTATTATTTATATTTTTTTTATGAGATCCATTTGTGGCGGACGATATTTAATTGTGGCGCCCCGTAACAAATAAATCAATGTATGGGAAACACTGCAGTTCACTGACACTTCATAGAAATATGTCTTATTTTCTCATTTTGTTTTGAAAAGATCTCCTTGCAACTTTAATATTAAGTTTGTATCAAGGGATGATAGGCATTTGCTGCTGTATTAGCATAATGTGTCTCTAACCAGTACTTAATAAACTCTTACAGGGCAAGTTCCAGCCTTTTTATAAGTATGCCAAAAGCTTCAACTCAGACGACTTTGACTATGAGTTGCTGGACAACAGTGATTATGTCTTCATGAGGTGGAAGGTTAGTACATCATCTTACACACCTCTCTCTCTCTTCTTGTGTTCGCTCTGAGCTATAACCTCTACTCTTTGTTTCTGCTCTCTCAGGAGCAGTTTCTAGTTCCAGACCACACTATCAAAGACATCAGCGGTGCCTCATTCGCTGGCTTCTATTACATCTGTTTCCAGAAGTCCACGGCCACTATCGAGGGGTATTATTACCATAGGAGCTCAGAATGGTAACTATCAAACATTACGAACTACAGTCGCCACACGTTTCTTATGTATATATTAGGGATGTGCATCTCCATCACTAAGGCCGATGCGATGCGCATCTCGATACGTTGCCAACGATACGATACATTAACGATACATTTGAAACACCAGGCGATGCGATACGATACGATTCACCCCTGTTGCGATACAGTTCGATACGATTTGATTCAACATTATGGGATACGATGCGATTCAACACGATGCAAAATAATGATACTTCAATATGGTACGACAAAGGATTTTTGTTTTATTCCTTATATGCAGCAAATCATAGATTAACAAAAAAGTGCTTTACATATGTGGTTCTCTCTACTAGTACTGTGCATCCCATCATGCTGTTTCTTTGTTACCTTTTTTACCTTAAAAAACTCTCCAGAGTAAAGTACAATTGTATAACACCTCACAGTTAAACAATTTAAGGATGCATTGCCCATGATTAACAATGTGCAAATAACAACTACCATAGTGCAATGCCCATACAACTGCCAGCCTGATGTGCTTAACACTCATTCATAGGCTAACTCACCAGTGAGCAGAAAGCAGTGGTGTGGTTTCTATATGAACAATAAAGAATACAAATAACCTTTCACAAACAGGTATTTCATAACTGCTTACAATTGTAAGGAAGACATTTAAACTATTATTGGCAGTCACAGGCTGTTGTAAACTAAACACCACTCTCACTGACAGAACACCTCACTGAGTGATTTAACTCATATGTCTAACTTTCAGGTTTTTCTTTTCAGCCGCAGACCCCATGTCGCCTCTTTATGTGCGTCGCTAAGTTCCGCGTACTACTTGTGTACTTTAAAGCGGCACGGCATCGTTTACAATTTGCGAGCGATTCTTCAAGTTGACCGTCTTTCTTGAAAAATCCGAAGTGTTGCCAAACGTTTGATTTGTAGGTATTTTTCGTTGCGCTGTGTTTCTCTTTCTCCTCGACTTCCATGTGTGTTGATAACTGAGACTCTCGGCCTCCGTAGTGCGAAGCAAAGATCAAAGATCGTCTCTGCTGAGTGCTGACAGGATGAGGGGATATTATATGAATGAATCGTTTTTTTACCGATGCAAAGACGCTACAATCGATGCATCGCGAGTTCAACCCAAACTGTAGCCGATGTGCACTCTTTCAACCGGTGCACTCGCATCTTGAACGTTTATGCCGGTGCACCGATGCGAATCGGTGAATATTAACATCCCTAGTATATATCGCTCTTATTTCTCTTTGTCTCCTTCCCTCTGCAGGTATCAGTCACTAAACCTAAACCATGTTCCAGAGCACAGTATTCCTATTTATGAGTTTCGGTGACAAACACACACGCAGGTATCGAGTCGAGAAGGGGACAGTTCATGCTCGCCTGTGGTTAAATAGGACGGGAACAACAGAGAAGCCCTTTGGTGCCATGATCGGAGCTGACACGTTTCCACACTGCTGGGAAATACAACGTGGGGTCAGACACTCCTATGGTGGACGGAAAGAAAAAGGGCACAGGAGGAGGAGAGAAAGACAGAGATCAGTGACGGATGATCGATTCACTGTAGAGCTCATGTTTACCTCGGATTATATTTTTTATCCTATTTGTCCTATTTTTGGTCTGTTTTATTTTAATGATGTGCTTCCCAATTTCTTTACTCATAAGATGTGTCCCCTTGTTGTTGGACATGGAAATCCTACAGTGGATACACTCAACATAACTGCCTTCTGAATGAGAGTTGCAATAGAAAAGAACATTAGGTTTATATAAATATTAGAGTTTAGAGAGTTTATATTCAGCAAAGCCTCAATTTATTATTCTAACATCACTTTGCCGCCCCGTGCAGAGAAGGATGGAGGGGTTACAAAAGCAGCAATGATGAGCAGTGATTCACTCTTTATGCAAGGTCTGTAAGACTGTAAGTTAGGTGTGTTGCTCAGGGACGGTGCGATGGGGTAACGTTTACAGCATTGTTGATATATTAACCATCAATTTCAACTTCCAACACAGTCAAAAACTCAACAAATAGTCTTCAAATGACTTCACATCAAAATGTCTTTATGCAAGCTAAAGGTCATCTACTTTATATTTATTAATTGTCCAAATCAAGAACAACCTTGAAATACAATGCTTAAGAAAAAGCTTACAGAAAAAAATTATTTATTTAATGGCCCGCATTTGAAGCGTGTGACCGTACATTCCAACTGTGCATTTTGACAGACTGGACAATTAATGAATAACGATTAATACGATGAACTGATTTAAATATGAATCTTCAACACAGTTTGCTAATGCAATATTTTCTTTGGTTTTATTCACATTTGTTACTTCCATTTTAAGAAGCTGTTAGCTGTAGGGCTGCTGTCATTACTGTCATTATTAATCCACCTGCCGATTATTTTATATGTTCTTTTTAATGTCTTGTTTTGTAAGTCCCAAACTATTCAGTTTTATATTATATACATTCAACACAGAAGCTGGAAATCTCCTAATTTCAGAGGCTGGAAATGGATTTTTTGGCTTTACCAAATTCACAATAGTTGGAAAAAACATAAAAAGCTTCAGATAATATAGCAGGGTATCTACAATGTGTAACATAAACAATTTTGATTAAAACAAAAAGCACCTTTTGTGGCTCATGGAAAAAGGTCTGAAGTAGGAACAATAAAACCAGCTGCCTTACAATTTTAAATGTTTGTTAAGCTCCATGTTTAGGTTGATATGGTTTTATTTGAACAGAATCAAGACAGTATATGTCTGTTTGAGAGAAATTGTGCAAGGACTTTTTATTAACTTGAGTTTATTTCTGAAAAGGGTTGATGGAGCGTGCATGTCCTCCGCCTGCCGCCTCTGTGCTGCTCAGAGACTTTCAGCTGCAGCATGAGGAGCGGATGTGATGTGTTGTGAGATTAATGTTGGCACTATATATTTTTTGTACCCAATTATGTGGATTGAAGATGATAGTCTGCTTTTTTATTAATCATATAACAGAGAACACAATGTGCAATGTAAGAATTGGATGTTTATATGGGAGTGTGTCATTCTAAGTCTTGGTTTAATAATCCTGATTTAAAGAAGACGATGTATGATAAATCACCTGTGAGTGAGGAGAAATAAAGAGCTAACTATTTCATACAATTGTGTATTATTTATTCAAATCTAAAATGCATTGTTATTTTGTCTACTGGCGTTGATATATGCATATAAAAGCAATGAGAAATAATAATGATATCATAAAGAGTAATAAGTATCTTGTACCAAACGTATTGTAGTGCTGCCTAATTTTGATTACATTTAGAATCTATTTTTCTAAGCATAGCAATGCCTAAAGAGACATAATATAACGTCATACTTGCTGATAGGTAAAGTAAGAAATAATACAAATTTGGCTTTGCACAGTTGCATACACTAAAGTGAGGCATTTGGACAGTCGAGAGAAGAGAATAAAGGAAATGAAGTTCTCAGATGTGACATATTGCATCAATGTTTCCCAGAGTTGCATGAAGATGTCCATCTTTACGTTTAAAGGGAAAGTAACCATTGCCACCCTGTTGATATCCACTGTATTTTTTTCAAGTTTTGTATTGCTTTGTCATAGTGAAGAAAGACTCAATAAATAAATGGATGGGTACAACATACAGCAAAGGTTCCTGGCTAAAATTAAACCGGGGACGTTGACAGTTGTGTGGTAATGTGCGTTAACCATTAGGGTACAGGAGCACTGCATGACTGGTTAGGTTAAGTCAAATCTCCTGTGCACAGAAGAGACAGCCAACACTAGATGGCAGTGGTGTACAAAAAAAGGTTTGAGTCCTTCTGGCTTTTGAGTGCATGTTAGGATCCAAACTGTTCAAACCTTTTGCAGCATGTGTGGTCATGAACCTCATATAGTCTCTGACACAGTGAGGCTGGTATGAAAATCAACTAATAAGTGGAGTGAAAAATCTAATATCAAATACACAGGGCAACTCCTAACCCCTAATCTTGCGCACTATATGTAAATAATATCCCACTTTTATATTGTGTTGCCCTTCAACAATGTTTTATTTGTCAGATAGTTTAGTTCTGTTTTATCTTCTATTTTGAGATGTATATATTGTATAATTGTTTATTTTCTACTCTTTAGTATTCTAATTATGTGCAATACTTTGTTTTCATGCTGCTGCAATGAAGAAATGTCCCAATTTGGGATCATTAAAGTATATCTTATCTTTATCTTATCTTAAAAGCATGTGTACAACCCCATTTAGGTGTTTGGAGACCAAGGCTAGTTTCACATTCCTAAATCAAAGGAAAGCGCAGAGTAATGCCAAATTTAGATTTTGGAATTCCTTATATCAATAGGCTGATGATTAACCAGGAAGACACATTCAGGAAAGAGTCATTTCTAAATAAAACTAGCTGAGAACCAATGCATGTGGATCATGTTTGGCGTACGTGCTGCGCATGTTTGGCGTACGTGCTGCGCATGTTTGGCGAACAAAGACAGAAGGAAACATTATTTCTACAAAATAGAAAGGAAAGACATGTGGAAAGATATGGGCAATAACTTCCTCATGTAGCTCAAACAATGCTGCCTGCTATTTTAAGAACAGATTATTTTCTTACTGGTGTTAACACTGATGCATTTGACTATTAATTAATAGTTCAGCTAGTTAGCACTACATTCATGTTAAATCAAACACACTAAAGACAATCAATGATTTGTGTACTTGATCAAGGATGTGAAAACAGTGTGTATACAAAATGATTGATCAGAAACAACATTAACCTTATTATGATAGTCCTGGTTATAAAGGAAAACATAGACATGAGAGTACTTTATGAGGAGATGTTATTGCAGGTAAAATAAATCAGGCTGTGTTAATCCTACACCTGCTCAATAGAATATATGTTTTGGTTCCCATGATTGTAGCGGGCACCAGGATAATTTGTTAATTTAACACTTATCGTTGTGTGTACTTTATTGACTCAATTGTATAATTGTACTGTCTATTTGTCTCGTAGGTAAAAGTATCACCAATACCCACATGTTTTAGAAAAAGTAAATCTGAGAATTCTTTATGTGATTGATATTACTAAACATGAACAGATGGGAGCTAGAAATATATTTAAAGAAAAGACAATTACAATTTAACAAATGGCCAGGACATGAAGAAATATTCTGAAGGAAAAAGATTATGAACCATCACCAGAGCTAACAGCTTCCTATCTAAATACACCTCTGCGACATTCACCTCATATCTACATCAACATGTAATAAAGTACATTTCTCCATCACTGACATCATTTATGAATGAAAACCACAAAAACGTGCCGCCTTACACAAGTGCTCTAAATTTAGAATAAAGACTGTGAATACAAATTGCACATTGCTGGAGTTTCCGCAGTGATACCGCGACGCAATACCTGCGCAGGTGCAGCAAATATAAATACACGTGCCGACGAGTTCCTGAGCTGCAGTCCCAGGATCAGAGCCGGTCTGAGGAACCCTCACAACTTTAACACTCAACTTTATTTCTTATCGCTTCCTCATGGAGGCCCAGCGGTATCCCATCAGCGTGCGTTTAATTGGAGTCATGCACAAGGAGAAGAGCAAAGTGAGCGCGTGGCGATTTGAAAAAAGATAATTAAGAGACCTCTTCTCTACAGTGTGATTAACATCTGCATTTTAATTTTTCCAGATGTACATGACCTCCGTGCTTTGGTCAGACCAGAGTGATATTGTAGTTTACAGGACTAATCCGGAATTTAAGAAAATGCATGTGAGTATACAGCTGGTTCATGTATTGCGCCTGTGTGGTGTGGTTATTGGTTATTAATAACAACTCTGTTACCCATTTTTTTATGACAGAAACTAATGAAGAAAGCTTTCCCACCTGCAAGTAAAATGAAACAATCCGACAGAATCATCCCCAGATATCGAGGTATGTATTTACAGCAGCAGTTTATGTGAGTCACAAAGTGTATTTCTGTGTTGATCCTGACTTTACGCATCCTGTGTGCTTTCAGACAGAAGGCTGAGAAGCGGCGGCCGGGAGAAAGGTCCCACCAGGTCTCTGCTGCGACTCAAGTTTCTGCAGAAATATTGTAATGCACTTCTGAGCTGCGACCCGAGGGTCTGCCAGTCGGCAGACCTGATCCAGTTCTTCCACCCCAAAGACCAGGACCTGCAGCCGGAGTTTGCCCAGAACAGGTAGTTTAAAGCATTTCAAAAATGACATCATATAATGATATAATGCAGATGCCTTTACTCTTTTAGGGAAGTATTTTGGCATAGTAGGCTACTCACCCCAAGCTGTAAAAGCTTAAGAGTGAGTGGTGACATCTTTGGCAAAAACTGTAATGACTGATATACCCTGAAGTATCCTTTATATGAGATTATATGAAACAATCAAACAATCAAAGAAATAAGGAAATTATTTTGTAGAATAACCAAACATTCTTGTTTCAAATTTAAATTCCGATTTGTTGCTACCAACTCCAGAAGGCTTTTCTGCGGGATTTTAGCTTTTCCAAAATGTCTAATTGAGAATATACATATGTTTTATTATATAAAATTTATAACAATATTATAATAGTTTGAGTAGTTAGAGTATTAAAAAAAAACAGAGGAATATGAAATAATTGCAAAATAGAACATGTAAGTTGCTCAGCAAGCATGAGGCCCTTGTTCATGTTAAATGTAGGATCTGCACCAGGAGCCTTTAAATTAAAACCTGACTAGTCCACAATTCAACAAATGTATAGTATGTCAGATTATTAATAGAAGTTACGATTTAGACTTTTCAATGAGCTGCTCTGTTTTTCTGCCTAATTCTTAATAATTGTGTCTCTCTTCCTCAGCATCATGATCATGCCAGCAGAGGATGAAATGATCAGAGATGCAGGACAGGGTCAGGGCGTGGGGAACGTGACCCAGCCGTTTGTCACCGAGACGTACAGGTGTGTGGCTCCTTACGAGACCAAAGACACCAAGAACAAGCCTTTCAAAGTGGCGCTGGACGAAAAAGTCGATGTTCTCATCAAAGACAAAGCAGGTGAGCGAGCCTCAGAGTCCTGTTAATGGTTTACCTCAACAACCCATTACCCTGAGATCTGTTAAATGTGAAATCCTGTTGGTTTAGGGTGGTGGCTTGTGGAGAATGAAAGCAAGAAGATGGCCTGGTTCCCTGCCCCCTACCTGGATAAACTGGAGGATGACGATGAGGCTGAGGATGAAGATGAAATAGATGGGAATTCTGAAAGAGGTATGTGCATAAGTACAGTATTGTACCCAATCAGAACATTAGACCATCAACACAAAGCTTGTTTACACAGCAGTAAAGGGTTAGATACTTTTAAAAGTGAAAGTAGAAAAAGTTGGTTGTAGAAACCCTCAAAATGTCAAATTACAGATAAACGGCAAAATTATCTTGGAGTATTAAAAGTGCTCTCTATGCAGAATGGCTCATTTCACAGTGTTGTATTGAAATAGGATAGAATATTATATGCTTTTTTTTTTATCACAATTGCTCATTAAGAGGATTATAATGTTTTAGTCTGTCAGTGTGGAACTAAGTTTAGATACTTTGTGTGCTACTGGGTAAAGCAGCAGCTTTTTACTGCATTATATCATACAAGCACAGATGGGGGTTTTTTGTGTAAAAAGGAAATATAAAGTATATGTGTCAAATACATGTAAGGGGGTACACAGTTCATAATTTCCTTTTTAAAGTGCTGTGCACAGTTAGAGAGTAAAATGGAAATACTCAAAAATACAAATATGTAAAAACTGTACTTTACTATAGTACTTATGTGGATGAACATGGTTGGTTATGTAAGTAAAGGTGCAACAAAGCACTGTATTAAAGACATGTCTTTCACTCCAGGAATGCTATACAATGCAGTCAAGAACTACAAGGCCACCAAGGATGACGAGATAACCGTGGCCATCGGTGCTGTGGTGGAAGTCCTGCAGAAGTCTGACAACGGCTGGTGGCTCGTCAGGTATTTAACACTAAACATTTAAACATCGTCCAGTGTACTAGATTTAGATTGGAACCCAACTTAAATACACTGCTTGTCAGAAAACCTAGGGTGGCTTTTAAGTAACGTAAACTCTCAAAAGGCCCTTTGTGGAGCATGTTGGTTTGTCTGTTCTGGGCTCCTGTAGAAACAATTAAGGTGCAAACGTAATGGATGAGTGCATTCCTTTTCACCCTAAATTAAACGCACTGGTCCTCTAAATAACTTGTGAAAAGTGTGTGTGAAAACATCGTTGGAAATACTCTTGCATAACAAAATTAATTCTAATTTTAACCCTCTACATTCTCCACTTTGTTGTTTTTAACAGATATAATGGTAAAGCAGGCTACATCCCCATCATGTACTTGAAGCCCTACAAACGCCCTCATATCCGCATGATAGCCACCAATCAAGATCGCGGCAACTCTTCCCCGAACCAACTAATGCCGCCCCTGGATCAGCAGTCCAAAGGTCTCAGCCTCTCTCAAGGCAACCTGCTGCAACTTCCTGCCAGATCTTCCACACCCAAGCTGCAACCACCACTCCTACAGCAGAGGTCAAAATCTGTTGATATCCACCCTTATCATCCTCCTGCTCCGTCTGCAGCAAGCATTACTTCTTCCACCGACGTTGACACCTCCCCCACGACCCCAAAGCCTTTCCCTTTGCCCAAAATCAAGGTGGAGATGGACGGAGTCTCGCCTCGTCCCCTGAGCCTGCAGGCCGACAGCGAGGGGAGTCTGAGCGACAGCAGCAGCTTCAGCGATGACCTCGACAGTTCCTGGGCGAGCTCCTCGTCCTTCAACCTGAGCCAAAGCTACAACGAACAGGAGCTGCGTCTCAGCCGTACGCCTCCCCCCGTGTTGAGCAACCGCCTCAGCCCGACAAGTGGCCTAGAGGGGAAAATGCCCCCCAGTGTCTCTGATCCCAACCTCTACAAGGGTCCGACAACACCTAAAGTGCCCCCCAGACCGCGGGCCCAGGAGATCCTCACCCGCTGTACCACTGTCACCCGCAAGAACGCAGCCAGGGGCGGCCTGTCGCTCACACAGACTGAGATATTAAGTCGATGAATGCATGTGTTCAGAATGTAATGACTACGAGGCAAAGTATCAGTTGTATTGAGGTGACTGTGGGAACATTTAGTACCTGTGAAGCTCTGCCAGCACATTTGGTTCCTGCTGAGTTTGTTTTCATAGGAATATTAGTTGTCAAACAGTCTTGTTGTGGTTGGCATGATCTTTGAAGATTGATTGTGTACATGTACACACATAGACAAAGGCATTCAGCATAAGCAGAAAATATATTAACAAAATGATGAATCTGTAAACACTTAACATTCATAACGCCCTAATTAACTCTGTTTTGAATGATTTATTTTCCATACTGGAAACCTTGTATGTGCCGAGTGCACAGAGAGAAAGGGAAAGAGATGTGTTCTTGTGTCTGCAGCAAAAATAAATATGTATCTGAATTATGAACAGTATGTGCGCATTTTCCTGGTCAAGCCTGTTCACAGCTAAATGAACTTGTATATAGTAATAGGTTGTGTCAATAACACAGAATATACTGACCATGTAAATCTTGAGTGTATTTTCTTGTTACAAAAAAGCTTGGAAAAAATAAAAATATTTTGGGTTAACTCGAAATGTCTTGCTTCAAGATTTTCTTTTAAACTGTACAGCTCGCTCTGTATGTTCCCAACCTCTGATGGACCGTTTTTGCCCTCGGAGACTGACCTTTGGCATGGAGGTCAGATGTTTGTGAGGTTGTGTGTGAATGCCGCCTCAGCTATTACAAATGTGCACATTATGCCTCTGCGTCGGCAACAACCAAGGCATTCTGTTTAAGGGTTATCCGTCTGATCCTCATGGAAGCAATGTCTTAGGAACACCTTAAAAAGATTATTTTCAAATCGGGCACAAACGTCCCCATGGATACAAGGATGAACTGATGCGACTTTTGGAGGGGTTGAGGATCAAGGTCTCTGTGAGGGTTCAAAAACGTTAATGGTGATAACTCATTAACGCATATGCTAAAATGGGATTGCACAAGACATGATGCAAAATAGGAGCCAGGGACAAAAAGTTGAACGGCAAGCGGCCCCCACTTATGGCGCCCTTGCAGAAACCCACGCCAATCTTCTAACTTTTGCTCTCAACTACACACCGTTTCAGTTTGGTGAATGCATCTTTGTTTGTTCTGTGACACAATCTGTTCACAGACCGACCGAAATCCAAGCATCTGGTTATTCTAGTTTTGTCTTAGGGTGACATAAGACTGACAGCACATGGTTTAAGCTGCACGTGCTTATGAGTCTGAAATCAAGTCTCATCAACTTTATGCAAATAACTTTTTTTGGGTGTTTCACTAATCCCCTGTTAAACCCCACGGACCCGCCGAAGGGTCCGAAAATGCTACATCTGCTAGCACCAGTGTGATCTCTGAAGTGTCATTTATGAAACTATTAATGTTCCACACCCAGCTGACGGGAAGAAACTCAGCTAACTGACTATACAAAAAAAAAAAATACAAAAAAAAAAAAATTCCCACAAGAAGCCTTTCAATGAGCCCTTAGCAAATACAGACTAATGCTATTTCTGCTCATAACTCACAAAAATTATCATTTATAATTATACTTTCTGCACAAACAACACATCATCTGAAAGCTGAGATTCCACAGATTCCATGGGTATACACCCCATCACTGCAGGCAAGAATTCACTGAGCTAGCAGCTAGGGATGCCAGAAACTGACCATGATCAAATTCGAAAATCGGACAGCCCTGGCGAATATTAATCGATTATTCGCCGACCCCCCCCCCCCCCCCCTCGATCCTGAAACCTGAAAAACAGGCTTGGGGTCTAACAGGTTAAGACAATTAACTTCATGACGTACACCAACGAAGCTAAGCTCCAACACACCCAACAGGAATGTTCACCACGTTTCCACTAAGCAATTAACACTTAGCATGCGAATGACTAATTTGGGAATTTCTAAACATACAACATATGATGCATGACTTTATGAAAATGTAACTCATTTTAAATCACAAAAAACAGACTTTAATTTCATAAACATTTGTAGTCATGACATAAAAAAATCTGTGGTTATAGGAGGAACATTTTCTGTTGTTGTGGTTGAACCGGTAGATCAGGACTATGCAGAGCTAGACAATAGCTGCTGGTGTCTGCAGCTCTGTCTCTCCTATTTTCCAACTCAGTGACTGGCATGAGACTTAGGAATGCACAGAGAGGGTTATTATCTGTATCACTATCATCCCACTTCTGTCTCTGCGTCTCTTCACACACTGACACTCAGTCAGTGTGTCACACCAGCTAATGGTCCGAGATGAGACAACCCCCTTTTCTTTCCCTCCAGGAGTCATCTGTTTTCAGCTTTGAGACCCCTGTCAGCTGGCTGAAGTCTGGCATTCTGGAGCGGAAGAAACCGGGAGACATTTCACCACCTTTACCGCTGTCTGATCCTCTTCTTCGGGGTCTTCCTCTTCTGAGCTCTCCTCACTTTCAGAGTGGTGGTTGCCGTTTGTTTTGGCGCCTATTCCACCGTTGTTGTTGTTGGTTGATTTATTGGTGGCACTGACCTCATTGTCCTCCTCATCTTCTTCTTTTTGATCCAGATCTTCATCTTGTCCACCATCACTGTCATCCCCATCTTGCTTCTCTTCACCGTCGCTGCCCATTCCTTTCTCCTTGTCAATCCTAAAGAAAGGCTGTGCAAGAGGAGTGGTATCCATGTCTTCATCTTGGCCCATGCTGGATAGGATTTACAAACAGGGATTAGATGTATAAACTGCACAATCAACATGTTTAACCAAACAAACAATATATGCAACACAAACAACTATAATGCATTCAGAGCTTTTCTGTTCCGGATATCATTTACATTAAAGGGGACCTATCATGCAAAATGCACTTTTGTACGTCTTTTATACATGAATAAGTGTCCCCGGTGTTCCAGGGAACTCACCAAGTGTCAGAAAACACAACCCTCTCTATTTTCCTCCATACCCAAATCTCTAAAAAAGGGGCTGCAACGGATCTGATAAAAACTGATCCAGATTTGAACACTGTCCTGACGTCAGGACGGTGGCGCTACGGCTATTGGGCCAACTCCACCAATCAGGAGGAGACAGCCACAGCCATTGCCATTCGAAAGCGCTGGAGACGCTGTAGTACATATGCCAGGCCTGTAGGTGGGGCTGTTCTCACAGAATCAGCCCTTGCAAAAACAGAGCTAAAAAAGTGCAAATTGAGCGAGATGAGGCATGGCTAAAATGCATGATCCGTTTGGTATTTTGAAAAAGAAAAAGTATAAATATGCCTTATATAGGTATGGTCCTACACTATATTATTATAATATAGCATAATAGGTCCACTTTAAGTATCTTGGTATTTGTTTTACTTTCCGATGCACTGCACCTTGACAGTCTGAAAGTCAAATCTCTGACATTTTTGTAGAAAGAAATGTTGCAGTCTGACAGGTTTAACCCAGAGAATGATGCTCTGCAACCTTCACTGCCTCCTCCTTCTCCTTCGACTGGTAAACACACACAGTCTTTGTGTTGGAGTCCTCACCTGGATTTACAATATATGTCAAGTTTGACCGACAATATCTCGTTACCAAGCACGAGGAACACATTGTGCTGAACTAAAAAATGATTGCACTTTTTGCAATAGTTACTGGAGGAAGACAAGGAAGTCACTGATCTCTATCTGTGAGCCAAGAGGTGAAATGAAGTGTGTGAGACTAACTGGAGCCAGTCTGTCAGCGCAGCAGAGGTGCAAATTCACAGAGCTCAAGTAAAGAAATGCAATGTCGTCAGGAGAAAAGTTTTGGTGCAAAGCAACATAATGTCATCTGGCAAAGTGATGTGATCACAAACATGCAAGCGCACATTGCTTGTAGGTCACTTTGTAAGGTGAGCTGTATTTCTACTCTTAAATGTCTCATCATATAATAAACTCCTGCCAATGCTTTTATCGTCTTCAATTGTTATATTCTGTAACTTCAGCTGGATTTCCTTGATCATATTTTATTGTCTCTCCGGTATCATAAACTACACGCTAACCAACATGGCCTGAAGCGTTGTTTTAATGCAGGGCTGTTTTGGGTCTGAACCTCACCTGGCTGGTGCTCCGGCCACTCTCATCTTCTGCCACATGTAGTTCAGGAACATGGACGCCTGCAGCAGGTTGCCGATCCTCAGCATGTGTCTCTCTGTGGCAGAGCAACAGAGGTAACCAGTTACAGAGGATTTCATACACACATCAGAATTTAAATTAGGAACCAGAGGTCGAGTGGCCCAGCAATAATGAGATGGGTAACAGGATTGCTTCAACACAATACCGTCATGTTAACATCCACTTCTTTTAGTCATTTTTCGACAAATACTTCCTGTTTCGGAGTACGCCACCTAGGAAAGCGTCTCATGCACTTCCATAAGCAGCCGAGTTCAATCCCACCTATGTGGCCCTTATTGATGCATGTGATCCCAGCTATCAACCTATTTCATGACACTATTTTTTTAGATTCCCCTATTAGGGATAGATTCTCCTCAAAACATTATTCTACCCATTCTTTGTTTTTTGAGGGATGTGTTTATTGGCTCCAAATAGGAACCAGAGGTAAAGGGGCCCAGCAATGATAGATTGGTAACAGGAAAACACACACACACACCTGTATATGGGATGAGTCCCTCGAGGTGGGCTCGGGCGCCCTGGTACTGCAGCAGCTCCTCGGGCGGCAGGTGTGTGAGGAGCACCTGGAGGATGGCCTGGGCGTTCTGGCAGTTTCTGGCGTTGGTGTTCCAAACCACACAGTAGCGCAGGAGCGACTCTGAGTGGAGTTAAAGTCAAAACAGGGTCACATGATGAAGGTGGAAAGGGAACGAAGAGAAGAGAAGAGACGGATTCATTTATTTCGTCTACCTCGCTTAAAGACGTTTTTTCATTTAGCTTTTGTATTCCATAATTAGAAATGTTGAAGGATATTGTTGATCTGTTACCTTTTTGATCCACCCTGAGTTTCAGGAGCGTCTTCTCCAACAGCTCATGGCCATTCTCCGACTGGCGGATCGCTGTAAGCATTAGAGAACAACATGTTAAACACAGCAGAAAATCAGTGGTTGAAACAACTTTCATAGCAGAGGCGTTTCATATATTGAGTTTAAGGTCATGATCTTTGGTTGAGACATTGTAAATCATTTCCATGTAGAATAAAAAAAGAATTTCTGGAGACAGAAGTGTATATGTGGGTTGTTTTAATGTGTCACTGTCCTTTACATCTACCCAAAATAAATGTTATATCACTTTTAGTTCACCTACCCAAATAAAGGACATACTATGTTAATACCTGTCTTTGGAAACTTTAAGATAAACAATTTAGACAATTCGAAACCAGACACTGCTGCATGTGCACACCTGGGTTTGGCACAATTCATCCTTGCATAACTCTATTTACTACCTCTCTACAGTGTCATTGTTGCATAACTAAGAATGCATCTGCCTTTGCCGACATGGGATCTCAATGACTCATAGGTTACACTACATAAGTGTAGAGGCTGCATTTACCAGAAAACAAGGTGCATTTGCAAACCCTTACACGACTAAAGCAGTATGTTCCAAGTCTCATTTATCCATGCTTATGCTGACCACTCTCCCAAGTACTTGCATTTTCGGAAAAAAAACCTTACTAATTAAAACAGTTCTGCATTCATAGTCTCACGATTGCGTAGTTATGTGTGAAAAACAAAAGGGAAGTAGTAATTGATACACAAATGATCATTTTGAGTGTGGAGCATTCCTTGTGTATCACTATTTTTATTGCTTGTATGTCTCTTTAAAATTGACATCTTTGGGAAGTAAGGAATATTTTGACTATTATAATATGACTTACACTGCCTATAACTTTGCTTATAACAGATTGTTCATAACACGGCTCACACTAAAGCTACATAAAAAAAACTCTTTTTTTTTCATCGCACGCAATACCTTATGTGAAAGCTGTTCAGCTTCAGATTGACAAAACGTCACTGTACCTTTGTTTTTAGGAAACTGTGTCAAATGGACAAAAGAGCAGGAACAATGTGGAATAAAGGTAGCTTTCTGTTTTCATGTTCACAGGCTGAACCTTTGACAGAGGGGTGTGCTGTGATTGCAACAATGCTCCGGTGACTCTCTAAAGTGAGCAGTCGTATACAATAAACAACGACAGACTGACAAGATAACCAAAGGTGAAACTGTAAGTAGAGACATGCAATGTGTACAGAGGAGGCATAACGTGGTACAAAATAAATAGAATAAAACCAAAAAGACCTGTGTACACCGTGTGCATGCAAGAAACAAGTAAATGTCAGGATAGAGAAAGTGGAATGGGGGCATCCAGCAGCTAAATGTTTAAGGCGCCGAAACTTCCCAATTCTCTCTCCCCTCAGTTCCTGTCAGCTCTTCTAGTCCACCGGTCAACCTAGACCAGAAGATGTTGAAGTTCAAAGTACCTTTGATGACGTTGAGCACGGTGTGAGGCTGGTCCAGAGAGATGGCCAGACCCAGAGCCTTCAGGTACTTCTTCTCATGGAGCAGGTTGGACAACTCCTGCTGCCTTCAGACACAACAAACACACTAGTTAATCAATCAAATATTATAAACAACAACAAAATCCCAGACGTCCCGGGGAAGATCTCTGTTTTTCTGTCTAGCTGCTTTATTATTTCACACAATAATATCACAGTTATTGTCAATACAGGCAAATCACAGTTATATGTGCCTCAAGCTCGGTTAAGCTTTGATAAGTAAGTGAAATGTACATTAAGTTGTGCTTTTCACATTAAAATGTCTTGACTGTATCAGTTTCTATATCTATGTGTCTTTCAAAACAAATGAAAGGCATTCAGACAACTTTTCCCCACCTGATAATAATGTATTTGTTACCTAGGCCCTCGTTATTATGAACCTATATGTCAGAGTGCATTCCTCAGTGGGCAAACATATACCTTCATTAAACATATATACAATCAATCATATTTGACCCCAAAATTCCCCTCTTCTTATCAGAACACACACCGCCTGACCTGTGACCCAGAGCGGTACGCCTTCGTCTAACACAGGCTCAGTTTATTAGTTAGCCGACAGGATATTTTAACAAGGGGAACCAGCAGCCATGTCTGTGACAGAGTTATCCCTCCAGGATCTCTGACCTCCAGCAAACAGACAAGAAAACATTGTTTGTCCACCATCTCAGTCTGAGTGATTAGTCGGAGGATGGAGGGCTGATAACAATGTGATAGCCTACTCCGTCCCACCCTGATTTTTTTAAATAAGACTATTGGCCAAAACCAAGTCGTATTTATCTTTTAAAGACTTAGAAAGGGTTATTAACGCCTTTGTTACCTCAAGACTGGACTATTGCAATGCTCTGTATGTGGGTATGGACCAGGCCTCAATTAAACACCTGCAGCTAGTCCAAAACGCAGCTGCACGTTTGCTGACTGGCCACAAAAAGCGTGACCACATCACCCCTATTCTGGCCTCACTACACTGGCTTCTAGTTCGGTTCAGAATTGATTTTAAAATCTTTTTATTTGTTTTTAAAGCACTAAATGGGCTGGCTCCGGCCTATATAGCTGAACTCCTCCAGCGCTACACCCCAGCCAGAGCTTTAAGGTCTGCTGACCAGCTGCTGCTGGTAGTGTCCAAGACCAGGCTCAAAACCTGAGGGCACCGAGCCTTCGCAGCAGCTGGCCCTAGGCTCTGGAACACTCTGCCCCTCCATGTGAGGTCGGCCCAGACCCTAGGGGTTTTTAAATCTACACTAAAAACACACTTCTTCTCTCTGGCCTTCTAGTTAGAGCGGAGCACGACTCCTGACTTTTCCTTGTGTTTTATATATATATATATATATATATATATATATATATATATATATATATATATATATATATATATATATATATATATATATATTGTAATTTATTGTCTTTTATTGTGATTGTAGTAATGTGTTTTATTACATGTACAGCACTTTGGCTCGACCAAAAATCGCTTTTAAATGTGCTTTATAAATAAAACTTGATTTGATTTGATTTGATCTGTTTAATGACCTCTAAAATGACAATGTTGTGTGTAACTTACTTAAGTATCTGATCCTCTTGCTTGGCCTGCTCCTCTGCCAGCTCCACTTCAGTCACATCCTAGCAGTGGACAAAAGAGAAACATGTTTGAGGTTATATGTTGTTCCCTGCAGGGGACTTTCCAAGTTTCCCCCTTCAGAAGAAAGAGATTATTTACAGTGAAAGGTCAGCTAAATATTAACAACTAAATAACATGTGGACTCAACGTTATCAAGTGTTACTCAGCAGGTTAAATATTAGCTGCCACAAAGACCAAATGAAAAGAACAATTGTGAACTTGTTGCATCCTGTAAGCTAAATTATCTAAAAGGTAGGAGAGGAAAAGCACTGGCAGCAAAAACTCTTATTTTAACAATCTGACAACCTGTACTTATATGTATTTAGAAGTTAGACAGCTTCACACACATCAGCAGGTCAGCATCAGACACTTACCACCCACACGGTGATGTTAGAGTCTGCTGAGCCAGTCACAATCTTGTTGTCTTTCTGACTGCCGTGGAGACCCCACACTTTGTCCTGGTGGGCGTCCAGCGTCTTCACACACTCGTTGGTCTTTATTGTCCACAGCTTCACTAAACCGTCCGAGCCACTGAGGACAGAGCGTAATTAAGAAGGCTTGTTTAGATATACACTTCTATTCTCTTTCAAATATATTTTTTATGAATTTCAAATGGGATATAAAAAAAGCTTTGCATAAGAATTTAGGCGGGGTTACCTGGTGAGCAGCTGGGTGCCTCGGCTCACAAAGATGATCTTCAGAACTGACGCATCGTGACCCTCGAATGTCTTAAAACAGTAAAACAAACAATCAGTCATGTGATTTTTTTACTTTTCAGCCAACCAAAAGCATACGAATTACAGATTTGTTTTTATATTTGTATTGTGTTGAGCAGTTTTACCTATGTTAATTCAGAAATTGCTTAAGAATATATCTAATAAAAGTATTATCCTCTTTAAAAAAGTATCATTTAAAAAGAGTCAGTCAGCTACAGGAATATAACTAGTTATTGACTTAACTTAACAACTCTTGCCCTTGTATTATCTTTACATACTAATGAAAGTAAGAGACTTAAGGTCTGTGTGTCAACTACATACAAGACTTATGTATGCAATCATTTTTTCTGATAAATGACACCCTGTCACATGCACACTAAACCTCAGGGCCCACCTTGAGGCAGCTGAAGTCCTGCAGGCTCCACAGTTTGGTGGTGCCGTCGGCGGAGGACGAGGCGAGCACCTGGTCGACAGGAGAGAAGCAGACGGCCCAGACGCCTCGGCGGTGGCCCTTAAAGACCCCCAGCAGACTCACGCTCCCCTCCACCGCCAGCGACCACAGCTTGGCGGTGCGGTCCTGGGAGCCCGAAGCCAGCAGCTTGTCATTTGGTGACACTGCCACGCTGTTTACATCCTGGAAGAAAGGAGATGAGGAAATAATGAGTCAGGGTTCATACACTTTTTCACCTATGATTTTCAATGACTTCTCCATGACCTTTACCTCATTTTCCATGACCAAAGAAATTACTCTTTCTCAGCGGTACCACTGAAACATTTTTATTTGAACATGGTAAGCTGGAAAATAAGGTCTGCATATGAAACATGTTGTGCCTATCTAAAACAAATCAAATAGTAGGCTTACTAGCTCCTACAGACTAGCCACTGTAGACTACAGGGCGTGATTGTAAAACTCTCACCAGCAAAATACCTCGACAGTTAAATGCCATTTTACGTTTCATTACTATACGATACAGTATTTATTATCATTATAGTATTACTATTTCGGCGATTAGATAAAATATAAATTATATTTGATGCAACTTTGGTTACATTTCCATGACTTTTCCAAAACTTTGGGAAACCTATTGTTTTCCATAACTTTTTCAGGGCCTGGAATTAGCATTTTGAATTTCCATGACTTTTCCAGGTTTTTAATGACCTTAGGAACCCTGATGAGTACATTTCCACAAAGTGGACAAGAGACGAGGAAATGTATTCAAAAAAGGAGACAGTGCCGAGAAATGAGATGGGTGTTGTGGAAAGAAACACGCAGAGGTATAAAATCACATTCTTCGTCTCACTACAATGCATCCTGAATATGACAAAAGACAAGTTGAGTAACAAGGTGTTGCAGATGGACAGATGGTCGATTGTTGTACCGGACATCTCAAGTTACTGCTATTGAGTGGAAATGTCACTTCAATGCAACGGTTATCAGTTCCACTGGTACACCATGCTTAAAACTATTTACAGAGAGATAACTGGAGACTGACTCACCTCTGTGTGTGTGTGTGTGTGTGTGTGTGTGTGTGTGTGTGTGTGTGTGTGTGTGTGTGTGTGTGTGTGTGTGTGTGTAATAAAGAATCAATGAACGGGAAACAAACTTTTACAGGTTTAAATGTTGCTGATATTCATATTTTTACACTATTCAGATTTCTATTCAACAAATGCTGTGAGCATACTGTACTGTGCATTTTGGAAGATACAAAACATTGCATGAATGCTGCTCTTTCTAAAAAATGATGTGGAGAGTTTTGTGCCGTACCTTGTCATGGGCCTTCTCTGTGGCGCGGGGGGTCAGCTGTTGTATCTCCGCCCCTGCTGTGGACAGGTCTGCTGGGAGATCCCACACCTTCACCGTACAGTCCTGACTGCCGGACACTACGAAAGATGCTTTCATCCTGGACAGAAACATGGAGAGCCATTGCTGTCACACATGCTCATTGGTTTTCTTTTACTTTGCATGTGATGTGATGGGATAAGATGTGAGTGTAAACAAGTTACCTGGAGCAGGTGACGGAGCCCACACCGTTAGCGTGGTTGGAGCCCTGAGCCACACAGTGCACCTGACCACTGTCACTGTCCATCTTCCACACACGCACTGACCTGTCCTAAAGACACACACGGAACACACACATTTCATTCTTTACTTGAATGTAGTTATAAAGGGTCTCTATTTATAGAATTTGTGAGGTTGTGGTGATACTGGTAATCTTGCATGTGCCGAATGCCTTAGAAGCCATTGTGTACAATAGTTGTTCTCTGAGTTTCTATTATTTGTGTGCAGCATTGTGCGCTCACCTTTGCACAGCTCGCAAAGAGACAACTCTTTTTGAACACGTCCAACGAGAGGACAGTATCTGTGGATGATGAACAGATAAAAATAGCAGTGAATGTCAGAGTAGATAAACTTCTCTCCAACCTGCTCAGCAAGTCCCTTTCAACACGTGCTGAGACAAGGTGTTTGTTTCAAATCTGAATTCTTTGGTTTCCGTTGCTAAAATGACACCTTTCATGTCAGGTTACCATGTCATGTTATCATGTCATTCAGTTATGCCATTAAGTCGTTCTTTTTAAAATGTAGCTTTTAGAAGCTGTGTAATCAAATGTTTATATAAAATCAATGTATATTCTATATTCCTACATTTTTTTAATGCATTTTGAGATGCATTGCTATTGCTTTATAAAAGCACTACGTTAGTTTAATACAAATAAAAGGTTATTCATTTTGAATAGATCACATCAACATCAGCCAACCGCAACCCTAACTAATTTATTTTATAAATTACCAGTGTTGAAATGTCTACAATAATCTGTAATTATAATCAATCCCTTTACATAAAATAAAGTAAAGCTTTCAGTCTCAGTTACTTAAGTTTCTCCAAGTCATAAAAGGTCAACACCAAGTTTAAAAAGCTAGGGACAGTATTGCAAATAGACTGCGTGTTGATGTCAAGTTTACTGTGGTTCCTTTCTGCCCTCTGGTGAATAAATGAACAAACTGCTATGCATTTCACATCAGGTACACACTCATGCCCTCTGCTGGTGACTGACCTGTGTGTCCGTAGAGGATCTGGCAGCTGTTGGTGAGCAGCTCAAACACCTTCAGCTGGCTGCTGTTGGTGGCCACCACTATGTGGCTGTCTCCTTTCCCCAGAAACTTCACATCCAGCACTTCGTCATTGTATCCCACAAACTGTGAGAAGTTAGAAGGAGGAAGCCACAGAGGAAGAAAGTGGAGATGTATTATATTTATATGATAATAAAAGAATCTGGATGAATGAAGTCTGCAGTTTGACGCTCAAGTTCAAGAACTATTAGCAAGGTAAAGAACTCCATCTCCCCTTCAGTACCGACCTGCTGTTGTGTTGAGAGAGCAGGCAGCTGGTAGAGGACGATGTTGTGCTCTGCTGTGACGGTGGCAAGTCGAGAGGAGGCGGGCAGGTGGAGGAGATGTGTAAGACCGCGGGGGTCGTCCTCTTTGTCCTCCTCTTCAGAGGAAGCGGAAAGGCTGGAGCCAAGGGTCTGAGCGTAAACACAACGCGCCGTGCTGGCCTCCCACACTCGCAATTCACCTGCCGTGTGAGGAAGGGAGATGAGGTGAGTGTAAGAGACATTTTAAGCAAAGCTCTGAGGAACTGCTTTCCCACAAAATCTTGACTCCACATGACAACATGTGAGGGACAATTCAAGAGACAAACCTTTGCTGCCAGCTGTAATGAAATGCATGTCTTTGCTCTTCACTCCAATCTGAGACAAGTCCTCATCCACAGGCAGCATCACAACACCCTCCACAGCCTGCAGACAAAACACACGTTAAGCTGTAGAAGAGTACCACAATTTGACTTCTCATATTTCTATTAATTAAATTAAAACCACAGGCACGTAATTAATATCTTCCAGTTTTCAGTGCACTGTTTTCACAGTCCTACCTCATAGACAGGCACCGCTCTCTTGGCTTTCTTCGTCTTCAGGTCCCACACTGTACAGATCTTGTCTCTGCCAGAACTACAAATAAAGATCGGCACACAATTACATTGAGCAGAAGAAAGATGTAAAACACTCAGCATAAAAAAACGTAAACGTAGTAAATGAGTGTACAGTACCTGACCATGGTGTCCCCATCGGGGCTGAAGCTGAGCGAGGTGACAGCGCTGTAGTGGCTCTGCAGCACACACACACACTTACTGGAGCTCAGGTCCCACAGCCGGATGCCACAGTCCTGAGAGGAGGAGAAGAGCTGCAGCCGGCTGATGTCTGGGTGGAACTGGACCAAGCTGCAAAGATACACAACGTTTTGGGACTCAATGTATGTAGCTTATCTCACTACTGGCTCCATCAGCCTAATATTTTTTTGTGCTCATATTTGACTATGCTCACGGACCTCTAGTGGTTAGGGGGATTTACAAATGCATGTATTTAGACTCTGTTGGGGGGGCATAATAGTATTAACCATGTCCTTTTCTTTAACGATATAACATCTTATGTACATGCATATTATTCAAAGCATTTCTGAACTTACTGTACAACGCCAGGTGACCCTTTAAGGTTGTGGGTGCAGTACTGCTTCACCACATCCCAAAGCTTTATAGTGCCATCACAGCCACCTGCAAGACAACAAGGAGAAACACTTGGCCATCTTTACAATGTCTATGTAGCAGAGATCAGACAGAAAAACAGGACACAAAATATCCAACTTGTTGTCATTTAATGCTGACCTGTTGCCAGGAGGGTTGAGGTGGAGTCAAAGGTCATACTGGCTACAGGAACAGTGTGAATGGCCCTCCAGGAGCGAGTACACTGAGCTTGTCTCCAGTCCCATTGCTTCAGCAGCAGAGCTCTACTAGCTGTCACCAGCATCTGTGTTGGGAAACACAGCACAGATGTACTTGCATACAATCACTCTCTTAAAGGCTGGTCAAATGAATTTACACAATGAGGTTTGTCTGAAGTGATGACAGGCACTCAAGGCGTTTTCTTTACCTCATCATCACAGCTGAGTGCAAAAGATGTGATGTCCTCCTGATCCTCCTGTAATTATAATATAGACAGAGGAGAAAGATTGTCAGGGTTAAAAGGTCCAAAACCCCAAGATAATATGTTTTCATTGATAGAAAACAAAGCAAGGCAGCAAATACTGACATTTGACAAGCTGTACTCACATGCTCAACACTGTGGACGATCTTCCCCGTACTGATCTCCAAAACATTGACACGAGTTCCACAAGTGCAGAAGATGTAATTTTCATCTTTGCTTATCTGGAAAACAAACAGAGAAGTTAAAAAGGGTTAACCCTAACCCTAAGCCTGTTCCATACTAGGGACTAAAAGTTAAGATGGTATATAATCTAATCTATAATAACTAAAGTGTTAGCGCTCTAGTGCAGTTTTCAGAGGTCCACAGGTGTGGAAAGCGATTGAAAACATTATAATACATGTGATTTTTGTGTTGGTTAACATAAATGTGATATACTATCTGCTTAGTGTCTGGACCCCTATTCTCAAATAGCTTATCATGGCGTCCCATTTCACTTAACTCTATTCTATCTAATGATTTTACTTTTATTTTAACTATAGGTGACTGAACTGACAATGAACTGAGCCATTAAGTCATTTGAGTTCCAGCCTCTGAACACCCATAAAGGTGGATTCAGTTATTCTTGTTGATTAGAAAACTTCTGCTCAGGATGAAGGTGGCCCGGAGCTTTGACAGTCTTTCTTAGACACATATCTACAAATACAGTGTTAAGGAGTAGTGAACTACATGTTTTTAACGAGTTGTTTTATACATTTTGCAGTAGATTGCTTGAAGTTTCAACTACATGTATATTAGCATAGTGATTCATGTAATTAAATTACTTATTTGACATTGTTCTGTGTACTCAACTACAAACTAGTTTTGGGAAATAAAAGGAAAGGATTGATTTTTTTATTTCTATTTTATCATTAGTTCTCTTATGCAATAGATGTTCTCGAACAAGTGAAAATATATGTCCAATATTTTGACCAGTCTGACAGCTGATCATAAAGGGTTAAGATATGCAAGCTGAAGACTGCCTAGGTTGTGAAGATTGTACAAAGCAGATGTCAAGAAAATGACAGGTAAGACAACAGTCCTATATTTTAGACCAGTGCACAAGTCAGTCAAATCGTCCAAAAAAAGTAAAATATTTATAGTGGGGAATTTCATTTGTTTGGTTAATGTATGACATTTAACAAGTGGGCCCACACACACATTCAACTGAACGGAAATGATTTGCTGGCATGTGACTTTAATGCATTAAAGCTTCATCAACACTGCCAATAAGAATAATACAGTTGTGTATACACGCCCACATAGTCCTGAGAAGAGGCCTAATCAGCCAGAATAATTAAAAACACCTGTGTGTATATTCAGTGGTTTTAAAATCAGTTCAGGCTCGTGCAACATAATGAATACTTGTATCAGCAACACATTTGACACAAAGCACATGACATATCACTCACCTGCACTTTCCCTCCTTTGTAAAACGGTTCAATCTTGCTGTCCACAACATAACTGTAAGGGAATAACAGAAATATAACTGTGAGCTGTACAAACTTGAAATGACACTTTAGCCTAGCTCGTGCCAGCTAGCATGGTTCTGCAGCCTTCACGTGCCATGCGTCAAACACTTACTTTGTTTTGAATTGAAGGTTGGTATTTGCCATCTTGCCTGCGAAAAATTCCAACACCTGTGTATATTTAGAAGCTGAAATAATGTAATTCACTTCTTTTTCACTTCACACGTTGGCTGAAATCAACACATCCATGCCGCATGTTGATAATCGAGTCGCACACATTGTACGTCATCCGAGGGCACTGAGCTGTGATTGGTCAGACGGTTTTTCTCGATTCCATTATCAAAATGTAAACAGAGATATATTTAATCATAAAACAACGTTTATACTAGTGTCTTCTATACTAGTTTTTTTTGTTAAAATGAACTTTATTAGTAACAAAGGCTAGTTGTATGTGATCATAAGGTTCACAAAATGAACTTTGACTTTAAATGTGAGTCCCCCATACTCACAACAATAGACTCAGTTGCAGCTATTCATGTTGAAAAGTTCCTGTTTGACGCAGGGTGAGCTTTGGTGCTAGAACAGCAGGGAAAGGACGCGCTTCATAATGAGCGCCATTATCTCTCTTCGTTTTCATATTTTACTGTTTTCATTTGTCCCCACACACACCCACACAGACATGGTCCCTCCTTCATGTTTGGTCAGGAATGTTCATGTGTGTGTTGCATTGATAACGCGGGTGTGTGACATGTGAGAGCACCGATATGGAGTAAACCTGTGCTGGGAATGGAAACACGGCGAGGAAAGAAGATTGACATGGTAAGTACACAACAGCTTCTGTTATTTTTTTAAATTAATTCCTCCATTTTACTAACTTTTACTTTGGGTTAATTTAAAAAAAAATGTACACATACATAGGCCTATCCTTAATATTGAATCAGCTACTTTCATAATACATTTGGTGAACTGTTAAATGTGCCTTCCCCTATAAAAAACACAGTCTTGCATTAGTTTCATCATGGTATATTTGTATTGTTTTTATTACATTTTATAAAAATGTTAACAATCAATTATGGAAATAATGCCAAACGTTTACGTGTTTATAAGAATTTTGTAATGGTCTCATAATGATGTTTTTTAAGGTTTACACTGACCTTTTCGTTATCATATTATCAGTCATATGACTTTCTAGAACAATTTTGTTTTGTCATCTCTTGCCTCTATGTTGAAAACACTGTGGATGGGTTGTAGGCAGCTGTGGAGAAAATACTCACCTGTTGGTACATAAAGGCTCACAGTTTGTCCATCATTGGAGCTGAAACTACTTTACACGTTATTGTTGCCGTGAAATATAAGAAAATGATGATACACAATAATAAGGTAATGTTTATTTGGCCCCCACCAGGCGGACCCAGAGGTGTCATCACAGGGCGAGGGCTACGATGTGGAGCTGTTTGTGGACACTCCAGACTACGATCTGATCTGCACTATATGCCAGGGGGTCCTCAAGTGTCCAGTAAGAGCAGCGTGCCACCACATCTTCTGCAAGAAATGCATCTTACAGTGGCTTAAGAGGTACTGAACATAACATGGGACGAGATCAGTGTAAAGTTATCCTGTATTGGATTGTTATAATCATGCCTGGTCCTAACAAGAGAACGGGACTAAGTGTTGTTTATTCTCCACAGACAGGAGACCTGCCCCTGCTGCAGGAAGTCTGTAAACACAAGCCTTATCTTTGTCATGTTCAAGCTGAGCAAATCTATTGGCCGCATGAAGATCAAGGTAGGAAGCTTTAAAAAAAAAAATACTTGTACATTAAAACATATTTTTTGGTCAAAGTGATGTACTGTTATTATGACAACTCTCATTTGAGTGACATTTGAGTGGCTTCATTAATACTTAACCCTCCTGTTGTCTTCGGGTCAAATCTGACCGATTTACTACTTTCATCAATCATAACTTTCTTGTTTTACATTCAATTGCATTAAGGCTTTATGATATCCTTCACAGTAGACATTTGAACATATAAAATTGCTGATCACCACTGTCATTGAATTTTGGATGATTTAGTCAACTTTGTAACACCCATGGTGTTCCCGGTCAAAAATGACCGCCATAAAGAAAAGGAATTAGTAACCATCCGGATCAGATAAAACACACACACAAACACCCACCCACACACACACACACATACTCTAGATGTGTTCCCACCCCCTTATGTGCCCAATCCCCCCATGTGAATCACACCTGGCACTCACAAACACACACACACACACACAGATCAATTTGACACATTTCCCGCTCTTATGTGCCCATCCCCCCACATGGATCACACCTGGCACACGCAATACATGTTCAGTGTCTATTCTTTGTATATTTACTGCAGTTGTTCATGTATACCAGTAGTCTGATACAATATTTACAGTTTGAAAGGGTTTTAAATGAAATTTGGTGATGATTAATGGTTTTTGTGTTAATGTAATAGCAGTTAAAACAAGACCGGTCAAATTTGACCGCAAACACCAAAGTAAGGGGGGGAACAAGAAGACATAGGACTAGGAGGGTTAAAGGAGCAACACACATCAATAATATCATGGCCTTAAAAGTGACCCAGCACTATGTAGACTTGAAGCTCTAGGGAGAGGTCAATACAAAAAAAATTCAATGAAGGATTAGAATACTTTGATCACTTATAATTTCACCTCTGCTTCTGCTTGAATAATAAAGTCAGCTTACTACCACTTGAAGGATTTTCCCTCCATGCTGCAGGCTAGATGCAGATGTATGTGAATTCTGGATTTTATGACTACATTATTTCTTTGTGTTTCTCTGTGTCTGCTCTCTCTTACAGTGTAAGAATGAGATCCGTGGTTGTGCAGAGACCTTCTCCCTCTCGGAGCAGTACTGCCACAGCTTGAGCTGCCTCTACGAGCTCATCCCCTGTCCCTACCAGGGCTGCCGGGCGCAGCTCCTCCGCAGAGACCTGGACACCCACGCACGCCACTGCGAACACTGGCGTCAGCCCTGCCACATGGGCTGCGGGACCATCCTCTCACACCGCACCCAGGCCCAACACAACTGCTACAAGCAACTGAGGCAGGAGTATGAAATCAGACAGAGGAACCACAGGGCCATCGCCACCGCCCTGCAGAGGAAGATGAGGAGGATGCAGAGCACCATGACCCACATGAAGAGGCAGATAGGGCTGATCTGCGAGAGCCTGGAGGTGATGGACGACCTGCACGAGGTAGAAGAGGAGGGCCTTGGAGAGAGCAGTGGAAGCTCGAGCGGGACTCCAAGTAGCAACACCAGCAACTGCTGAGGGAGTCACTTACTACTGCTGCTGCTGGTTGTAATTTCTGCATGTGTTTATTTATTTGAAAGTGTGTGTGTTTTAAAATATGTAGGTGGTATATGATTAATAAGAGTGAATTTGTAAAAAAAATGTGTGCTGTAGTTTCCTATATTTTGTTAATAAAGTATTTAAAATGAACACTGTCATCCTGACTTTCATTCAGGAGAAAAGCCTTCCTTACAGATGAATACTTGTATTAATGCAAACATTTACCAGAATTGTGCAAACATAGCCTACATCTAACTCATGACTGTGCTTTCCAGAACATTTAAGTCTCGATCAGACATTTATTCATATTTCACAAGACACGTGTGGACCTTTTATCTTCTTCTTCTGATGCATTTGTTGTTTTTATCTTTTTCTTTTAGGCTATGACTATTGATATTTTAAGAGGGAGGAATCTTTATTCCCCCCTCTTAAAATATCTATAGTCTAATTTTAGCTTCTAACTGTTCAAACATATTCCTTAATTCTTACTGGCTTATGTGTAGATATGCAAATACATAAATAAAACAAATTATGTTCGCCAACAGAATAAAAGCTTAACAGTCGCAGAGCATTTTACTATAAAGGAGTTGAAAGTGGATGAATATGCCTATTTGTTTTGTTTGCTTTTTTAACTGCTGAAAATGATGTCATTAATGCGATACAATAGATTACATATTAAGCTCTAAGGCTATGACTATTGATATTTTAAGAGGGAGGAATCTTTATAAGCTAATTTTAGCTTCTAACTGTCAAAACATAATTCCTTCATTCTTACTGGTTTATGTGTACATATGCACATACATAAATAAAACAAATTATGTTCACCAACAGAATGAAAGCTTAACAGTCGCAGAGCATTTTACTATAAAGGAGTTAAGTGGATGAATATGCCTATTTGTTTTGTTTGCTTTTTTAAATGCTAAAATATTATGTCATTAATGCGATAAAATAGAATAGGTAGATATAGATAATAGAGCTCTTACAGGTCAGTTCTGAAAAGCTGCCGCTTGGGGGCAGTGTTTTGTATGGTTTCTCTAGAGGAGATATCGCGAGACTCTTTAGCCCAGCTCTATATAAAGTCTGGTTTGACTTCTCGTGGTTCTTCTTCCCGTAATAAAGATCACGTAAGTGAATTTCCGTCTCTTCCTCTCCTATCGTAATCCTGTATTATCTTACACATCCCTTTGCTAAATACTTTTATTCTACCTCAAAACGCACACATAAAGATGTTATATCAAAACCCTGTGGTTATTTACGAGAACAATTAAGCACACATTGAGATATTTTTAACTATTGACTGAACGTTTGCAACGTTGAACATGGCGGCGATGCTCGTTTTCTGTGAGATGCTCTGCCACAGAATGCTTGGTCTTCAGCTCTCCTTTTCTTTATCGGTTGAAGTTGATATTAATTTTGATCTTATTCTTTCCCGCAGCAAATGGCGGACAACGCCGGTGATAGAGGAGGTTTCCGAGGAGGTTTCGGCGATAGGGGCCGCGGCAGGGGCCGTGGACGCGGCAGAGGCCGTGGACGCGGACGCGGTGCCCGCGGCGGCAAGTCCGAGGACAAGGAAGTAAGTTCAAGACTCCCTTATTTAGTTAGTTCAACAAAAAAATGAGAAGCTGGCTGTGTGCTAATGCCCTGAACAACATTTAACTGAGATGCTTTATTTTCAAAGTGGATTCCAGTCACCAAGCTGGGCCGCCTGGTTAAGGACATGAAGATCAAGTCCCTGGAGGAGATCTACCTGTACTCTCTGCCCATCAAAGTAAGCAGCGTTTAAAGATGACTATTGTGACAGACAGTAAATGATGATCTTGTATTAACGAGAGCAGAGGGGGGTCTATTGCATGCAAATGGACGTATTCTAATCTCCCATGGATAGTCTTCATTTAAAGCTTCATGGTGTGTGAATTGTTGTGCCATCACATTCAGGCCAAAGGGATACAATATTTTCTGTGAAAGATTAAGCCTGACAGTTTTTTTTAAATAATAATGATAAATGCAGTGAGGACGAATGGTTGTTTGTTTCTTTGCTCATTTGGTATATAAAAAAACGTGTGTGGAATATACATACTTGAGGAACAACTGCAACTATTGTAATACTTCACAAGTGATGCTTGGCACAGATTTTGTTTTATTCTTATTTATAAATTCATACATGACCTATATTGGATGTGGTATATGCTAAAACATTTGTTACTTTTTTTTCCCCTGCAGGAGTCTGAGATCATCGACTTCTTCCTGGCTTCTGGTCTGAAGGACGAGGTGCTCAAGATCATGCCCGTCCAGAAGCAGACCAGGGCTGGTCAGCGCACCAGGTTCAAGGTGAGTTTGTTATTATAGTTACATTTGACTGTTTTATTTCCCCATAATCTTGTTTGTCCCAATGTGACATTGTTTGCTTTTTTCTTACAGGCCTTTGTTGCTATTGGTGACTACAATGGCCATGTTGGTCTGGGTGTGAAGTGCTCCAAAGAGGTGGCCACCGCCATCCGTGGTGCCATCATCCTGGCCAAGCTGTCCATCGTGCCCGTAAGGAGAGGTTATTGGGGTAACAAGATCGGCAAGCCCCACACCGTGCCCTGCAAGGTGACTGGCCGTTGTGGCTCTGTCCTGGTGCGTCTCATCCCCGCCCCCCGTGGTACTGGCATCGTGTCCGCTCCCGTTCCCAAGAAGCTGCTCACGATGGCTGGTATCGACGATTGCTACACCTCCGCCAGGGGCTGCACTGCTACCCTCGGCAACTTCGGTACGTTTCTTATGCTGATCATGTGTTCTATTTTCTCATTGCCCTGCCCAGCTTCAACTCTGCTGTGGTGTAGTTGTCATTATCAGGAGAGAAATGAATGAGTGTTATTGTAATGCACGGCAGAGAGACTTGTTTAGTGGTCTCCTCTGATCCCCTTTTCAGTGCTAAACATTGTTTCCAAAAAAGACTGCAGAACTATATCTGTCTTACAATCTACTCACTGTTTTTATATTTGTTTCCTCTTCAGCCAAGGCCACCTTTGATGCCATCTCCAAGACTTACAGCTACCTGACCCCTGATCTGTGGAAGGAGACCGTCTTCACAAAGTCTCCCTACCAGGAGTTCACTGACCATCTGGCCAAGACTCATACCAGGGTGTCTGTGCAGAGGGATAACCCTGACATGCCTCCTGCCTAAAGTTTTTGTACAGTCTCGTTGAATAAAACGTTCTGAAACAACATGCAACGTGTTTGTCTTGTGTTAAACAGGGGTGTTGCTAAATAATAAGACACTACATATGTAAGATGAAAGTTTTGTCCAATGTCAGACTACAATAAATCATGTGTTTTTTTTTTTACATTAAATTGAATCAATATTATATATCCTATGTTAAAAGACCCAGATTAAATACCTAATCAACAGTCCTGTTCAATGTTATGCACTGGTCTTCATGGATATGAGGAAGATAAATTAACTGCAAATGGCAATATTTGACAGTCGTATTCGACCCACACTAAGGGTGCGAATAAAAATCAGGACATTCTTTAAGAAACCTTAATTCTCCAGTCTGCCGCAAGACTTAAAAGCTTATTGTGCAGAAAGTTAGGTTGAGAACAGGAAGTTGTTGCGCCAACCGAGTTTTATTGCACTACAGCCACACTAACAAGTCCCAAGACCGACACTGACTTGTCCACCCCAGAAAAACAATGCAGAGTATATCGTTTTTAAAATTGTAAATCCTGCAAATGTCTTCTCACTACCTCTTCAAAATCGGCACAGCTCTCCACTTTAAATACAGTATTTGTCATACATAACTTTAGTTTGTTATAAATGACTTTAAATAGTTTATTTGAAAAGATAATACTGTGTCTGTCACAACACACATACCAAAGCCAATGTGTAAACCTGCTTGGTAATACAGCAGTGTTTCCCACAGAATTTGATTCCCACTGTACAACACTGTACAGGTTTCAGATTCTGACATTCATGCATTCATACAAACTGTCATTTTAAGGACTAAAAAGACCAACAAATGATTTATCACATACATTTTATTTTACAATATTACAGAGGACATATAGTAGCGATCTGTTCTTAAGAAGTCTGGGCCTGAGCAGCCGTCATCCGTTCTTTTTGTTTCATGAGACATTTCCTGCCGCTGGCATACGCTCCCAGGTCTCCATCTGCAAAGAGGAAAGTCAGTAGTTCAACAGACTTAGTAGTTAAAAAAACTACGATTAAACTACTAAAAGTCTAATCATAATTTCTCCAAAACCAAAGGTGTTATATACAAAATACCTTTGTGCAATTGTTATAAAAGATGGCTTTTTGCATTTCCCTTTCAAAAAGGGCATCAAATAAAACATTTTTAGAATTATTTCAGCCCTATTCATAACACTATTATTACATTTACTTAATTTGTAAAAAAAAAACATTTAATTGACACAGGGGACAGTAAATAAAATCCCCAAGTTTATGAACAGCAGTGTAATATGACATGTAGATTTTCGTTATTGTTTTTAAAGTGTCTCAAAGTGTCTTCCACCGCACATGTCCATTATCACATTACTTACAGCGTAACTGGAAGTTGTTGGAAGTCTCTTCGAACTGCTCAATTTCCTTGGCACAGTTCTGCACGTAGCTGGATCCTTCCCTCTGATAGCAGGCCCTCATACGCTCCTGGATTACCTTCACAATCTCCTGATCCACTTTGCTAAAGAGTGAAGACAGAACAACAGGGTGACACTCTTTAACAGCATCTCCAGAGCTGATAGAGGCTCTATTACTGGTGCATACATTCACTATTGAGTCCTTGAAATAAAAAGCAAACATTTCTATGCCACCGTTGTCTTGACTATTGCAACTCCCTTGACATGTCTTTTTCAAAAGTCTCTCCATCATCTCTAATTTGAGCTTCCCTACCGGGGCTACCCATGTGTTTTATAATGTTTTTTAACATACATGCAAAATCTGTTTGGGCATATCCGTTTTCCCCTTATCGACAATCGTTCTAGCTCTGATTCTCTGGCATTTGCTGTAAGAGCTCCAATACTTTGGAAAGCCCTGCCTGAGGAAATCTGGCATGTTCAAATAGTGTCTAATTTTAAATCCCTTAAAAACACACTCCTATAAAGCTTCTTTGAATACTTGATTTGGTTTATTTATTTTGGAAACATTTGTTTTTACATATTTAGTTGTTTTAAAGATTGTAGGCAAGTACACAATCGGTAATCAAATTGTGGGAATAAAATACAGTATATACAGTAAGTTCTGATTCAAGTTATCTTACATTTTATATACCCTTCAAATAGTTGTAGACATTATTTGTTAACAGCTGCTTCTAAATGTATTTTAGAACAATGTTCTCTATGTGTTAAGACATCATAACTATATATTTGGCTAAACCACAAGTCTGCCACTAAAATTGCAATTATCTCATACGTTGCTGTACTGGAGGATGTTTCCGCCTATACCAAGCCACCTGTTACACTCGGCAATCCAGCCTGTATGTATATTGTATCTTAATACTAAAATATCTTGAGCACTCGCATGTCTATCAGGATGAATACATCTGATGTGCATCTCTGTCTGTTACTTACTAGTCTCTCCTCCACTGCATCTCAGCCTCATAGTAGCAGAGGTAATCTCCATGCTCGCAGTCTACCAGTTCGGGAACACGGCGGAACTTCTGGTGGTAGTACACCGACTTGTTGTTAGACCGAATACTGTCAAGCGCACCTGGAGGAGAGAATAAAAAACACATATATAAACAAAGACGTAGTTAAACTTAACGCTAAGCAAGGACACGTACTGTGATTTGATATACACGAATGTTGCTGGCCAGCATAACACCTAGCTAAAAGTGCATACATAGCTAGCTTACTATGTATTTTATTGCCTAAAGCCAGTCTTGTTATGTATTTAATGTTACCCATTTGCAAGGACACAGCATGTATGGCATTATTATTAAGTTAAACCAGCTGTATGACTGATAACTTTAGCTGTGTTGTTGTGCTAGCCTGTTAGCCCAGTTAGCTCTGTTAGCTTGAGTTACCTCTAAATGTGGAGACAGGCACATCCACGGAGTAATAGAAGAGGTTACTCAGGATCACGGCCGGGTTTGGCAATGATGTCTGTTTATCCACAACCGGAGTCTTCCTCGGAGGCTCCGGATATGCTGCTTTATCATGGTCCTTCATTTTGCCTTATTTTGACCACGATAATGAAATCCTTCAATTCGACCTCAGCAGCTCTCCTTTCGTGGTGGAGAATGCGCATGCGCAGAATATATTCTTCTTCTGTTTGAATTGCGGACTACAAACCAACGTTTAAAGGTGCATACCGCCACCTACTTTACAGGAGTGTGTCACTTCGAGACTTGAAAGACAATTAATGATTACATTAAAATAAATGAAAAAAACAGCCATGCTATATTCTAGAAATTAAACCTATATTATTCCAATACTGAATAAAGCCATGTGCAGAAGATACACATATATGGCGAAATAGAGGTTGGCAAATGTAAACGTAGGTTTTGTTCTGATGAATCAAAATGTATTAGTCCTTACACATAATGTCCCAAAAAAACAAAACAAAAAAAAATCTAAAGCTCAGTTACATATATATATATATGTTTTAACAAAGTTTGAAGGGTAAAGGTTACATTTAGAGTTGTTGTACCATGGAAAGGCAGCAGGTGGTGGTGCAAGGCTGACACTCATGTTCACTAACTATTTTTAAAAACGTATTATTGACAGACAATAATAGTAAACATATAAAAGAAGTATAGCTCTCAAATAAATAAAGTAAAAAAGTACTGTATTTCCCTCTGAGGTGCAGTTGAGTTGAATTATAAAGCAGGCTATAAATCCTCAAGTAAGAACAAGTTCTTAGTACTTAAGTTATTGTTACATTCCACTAATAATGTTGGCCACAATGAACATATTTCTTCAACCCTTTGTCTCCTTTCTTGGTCAAGTGGTTCCTGTCCACTGGGCCTCCCCACCACGTCAGTCCTCTGATATTAACCCCCTCCTCTCCTCCTATCCTCTCCTGTCATAACTTGGCAGAGATTGCGTTACTTGAAAAATAACACCACTCCTCAACTGGGCCAAGCACCAATTTAGAGCCCTTACACCCGTAACATCTTAAGTATGACCCTTACACCAGCACCTCTCTCTTTCTAGCTCGACTTGACAGACATCAGACATGGTCAGTGCTCCTTCTATTTTAGTATATTTTAATTTGCCGTTTTGTTTGTCTTTTTCTTCTACTTGTGTGCATGTGTGTGGGGGTTATCATCACTTTGTTTGAACACTTGGTTTTATAAAGGAATATAAAGCATATTGAATCTTGTAATGGCTGCTTTGATGAGACCACGTGTAGAACTGAAATGGCGACTTCTTTTAGTATCCCATATGAGTCTATGACTTTATTTTTAAAAGGGACCTCTATTACAGTTTATTCTTTTGATGTATTGTTTCTTTTTATTAGATCATTCAGAGGCCATTTCATATTAATGGAATTTAATTTAGAATAATACAGCTGTACAGAAACCGGACAGATGACTACATTTTACTAGGGCTGTCGATCAACAAATAAATACAACAACTTCGATGATCGATTAATTGTTAAATTAATGTTTCATACAACAATATATGAAGATTATATGCTTTATATGCTTTATATCATATTTAACTTAATAGTCTTGGGGTTTCCAAAGACATCCAAAGACATCACCCTTGAAATGTATAACTATTTTCTAACGTTTTATAGACCAATTGATTAATTAAAGTAACTAATCACCAGATTATTGATAATAAAATAATTGTATTACATTTATTAAAGGCAAGGATGAATGTGTCTTTTTTTATCTACTACTGTAGTTCTTAAAGTGTTTTTAAAAACATGAATTTTTAATACATCTCGTGTTTCATGTTAACAAGTAGTAACTCTGTGCCTCTACAGTCTCATCGTAAATTCCATGCACCCAGACATGGGCACATGGGGTTCCTGCCCCACAAGCGTTGTAAGAGACATCGTGGCCAGGTGCGCACATGGCCCAAAGATGACCCCAGCAAACCTGTCCACCTCACTGCTTTCCTGGGGTACAAAGCTGGCATGACCCACATAGTGAGGGATATGCGCCGCACAGCCCTAAGTATGTACAACTGTAACATGGCTGCATGGGAGGATTTAGCAAAAAAACAATGATTTTTTGTGATGTTTACTGCTGTTTTCAGAGGATAATGGACTTGTAAGAGCAGGTGTTACATGGCACCCTACTGTGTTCTGTAAGGATTTAATGGGGTTTAGCTTCATTAAATCCATATCACATTAATACATTATTGCATTGTTATTGGGGTGCCTTTCTATATTGTTCAATAATCATTTTCATTGTTAATAGACTTTGCTTGTGTGAGCATTACCAAATACTGACTGTTGAAATAACTCAGTGGATTAATATTTGCCTGGTTTACCCCACAGAGGTGGCACATCGAGAGGGAGTCGAGGCTGTTACCATCATTGAAACTCCACCAGTCATCGTAGTGGGGATCGTGGGATACATTCAGACTGTCCGTGGCTTACGTTCCTTTAAAACAATCTTCGCTGAGCATCTTGGTGATGAGTGCAAGCGCAGATTTTACAAAAACTGGTGTGTGTTCCCCTTATTTGCAGTCAATTGAGCACACAGTTGTTGCCCTACGAACACCACTCTTTCTTCTATCTAAACTGGGCTTTTTTGTTGTTCAGGTTCAAGAGCAAGAAGAAGGCCTTCACCAAGTACAGCAAGAAGTGGCAGGATGAGTCAGGAAAGAAACAGCTGGACAAGGATTTCGCTCACTTGAAGAAATACTGTTCCACAATCAGGGTTCTCGTTCACACCCAGGTAGACTAGCTAGTTTACAACTCAAATAAAAACAAAATACAGTTTTAAAGACACAACAATTGTTGTCTAAACCCATGTCAGTGAGACTCCACTGATCTAATGATTGGTAGCTTTAGATCCACCCCTGCAAAATGGCCACCTGACCACATGCAATGGAAATAAAAGCTGCGACATCCCAAATACCCCAGCTGCCACGATCCAGACATCTTTGACCGAGGGGAGCATTCAAGGGTGTCGTCTCAAATGACAGTTTAAAAATAATTCTCAGTTGCTGCTCACCCAGCCCTCACCAAGGGAAAACCTTAATGTTGACAGCAACAGTATCAGGATCAGCCAATAAAAGTGTTGCTGGGATCATATTACCGCTTTAAAAGTGGGAATACAATTTGAATGTGTTTTGAAATATCAGTGTTATGGTAATTGGCCTTATGTGAAGTTCAAACATGAGCCTGTGCTCAGTCATAAATCCAACAATAAAAAATACTTCCTGGGGCAATTATTTAACTTTATAATTAGAAAAGCGTTTCCAGATTTTTCAACTGCAGTTTACAGGCTTTTTCCATTTCCAGATGCGAATGCTGCCCATAGCACAGAAAAAAGCCCACATCATGGAGGTGCAACTGAACGGGGGAACCATGTCGGACAAAGTGGACTGGGCTAAGGAGCGCCTGGAGAAAGCTGTGCCTGTTTCTGCTGTCTTCTACCAAGATGAGATGATTGACGTCATTGGAGTGACCAAGGGACATGGCTTCAAAGGTAGGAAACATGTTTTGATTTGTGCCTGACCAACAATTTTGTAAATAAAATGTGCACTACTTATTTTGGTCTCTTTCTGCTGATAGGTGTGACAAGTCGCTGGGGCGTAAAGAAGCTTCCCAGGAAGACGCACAAAGGTCTGAGGAAGGTGGCCTGTATCGGAGCCTGGCATCCGGCCCGTGTGTCGTACACTGTAGCTCGTGCTGGTCAGAAGGGCTATCACCACCGTACAGAGCTCAACAAGAAGGTGAGCTGAGAGACACAAGCCCAACATCACCATCAAGACTTCCCCTTTATCTGTCCTCAGGGAAATACAACTTTATCAAAGAATCACTAGCAAAACCTGTGGTGGAAGCAGAAACCAGATATTTTACATAATGTTAAAGTACAAATAACAAAGTCTAATTGTACTCCATTGCAATTCATTAAATGTAAGCTGTTAATTCAGTTAAAGTACAGATGTGCTATGAGCCAAATTGACTCAAAGTATTAGTAAAAGTACAGAATTCAATGTTTTATGCCATTAAAGAATATTATATTATGTTTTTATCACTGATAACTATATGTAAGAGTATTTTAATGTTTTACTTCAGTAATGTTGAGAAATTGTAAAATACTTAAACTACTAGGAAGTATCATGTACTTTTTGTGTAAATATTAATAGTCACTTATGCTTTCAAATAAATGTATTGGAGAAAAAATAAAATATTTCCTTTAGACGTTTAAAAGATTAGAAGTTTAAATCTGCATAAAATGGGAATCCTCAGGTAAAGTATAAGTACTCAAATTTCAACAATGATAAGCAATGTTATTATACAAATACATAGGTTTACTGTAAAGCTCTGTGTCCTCATGTTTCCTTAGATCTACCGTATGGGTCAGGGTCTTCACATGAAGGACGGGAAGTTGATCCAGAACAACGCCTCCACTGACTACGACGCCAGCCAGAAGAGCATCACACCCATGGTACTGTCATTTTTAACAATAAAATATCCACACAAAAAAGGCTCTCTAAGAAGCCAATACATCCATATAATGTATTAACCACACTTGTTGAAAACACTGCAACACTGCATAGGGAATTATAATGCATTATGGTGTATTACTGCTTATTATGAAAGATAATACGGTTTACAGGAAGTGATAACAAATGTGTTCCTGAATGCTCCTAATTTACTCTTTATTTTCTTTTGTATCCACTTCACTGTTTATCCACTTCACTGTTGTAGGGAGGCTTCCCCCATTATGGCGAAGTGAAAAATGACTTCCTCATGTTGAAGGGCTGCGTGGTTGGGCCTAAGAAACGTGTCCTCACCCTCAGAAAGGTAAGTTGTGACTTTGAATGTTACATTTTGGATCTTATATTCAGCAGCTTGGAGTGTGTCTACAAAGCTTAAGCATCTAATTTACTCTCAAAGTAAATGGTTTGGCTCTTTGTACTTGCAAGACATGTACTGTATAGTATGTGTACATATTTGTGTCTTTCCTCCTCTCCTAGTCTTTGCTCGTGCACACATCTCGCAAGTCCACTGAGACTATCGAACTCAAGTTCATTGACACCACTTCCAAGTTTGGTCATGGTCGCTTCCAGACTGCCCAGGAGAAGAAGGCATTTATTGTAAGTTTGGTGCACGCACAAATAATGATAAGCAGGATTCATTATTAATCAACATTATCACTGCTGAATCACTGTGCACTATGTAACACTGAGCTCTGGTTTGACCTACAGGGGCCACTGAAGAAGGATGTCAGGATAAATCTGCCAGAGCCTCTAGCTGAGGAGGCCTGAAAACCTTTTGATATTTTACATACAATAATTAAACTGAGTTTAAAATACACAATGTGTTGTTTTGCCATGTACATTAGCATTGGTGTGTTAGAGTTTTAACGACATAAACTGCAACCTCCAGGAGCCAAGATAGAAGAATTATGGGTTTTTATTTTATGATTTTAAAATAGGTGGAAAAAAAGGGATGATGTTTCTTAGTTCCTTAAACGTTTTGGCAGGTAAAAAATATATAAATGTTTAAGTATCAACTTAAAGTCAATTACTTTACTTAAAGGGGACCTATCATGCAAAATGCACTTTTGTACGTCTTTTATACATGAATATGTGTCCCCGGTGTTCCAGGGAACTCACCAAGTGTCAGAAAACACAACCCTCTCTATTTTCCTCCATACCCAAATCTCTAAAAAAAAGGGCTGCAACGGATCTGATAAAAACTGATCCAGATTTGAACACTGTCCTGACGTCAGGACAAATTGAGCGAAATGAGGCATGGCTAAAATGCATGATCTGTTTGGTATTTTGAAAAAAAAAAAGTATAAATATGCCTTATATAGGTATGGTCCTACACTATATTATTCAAATATAGCATGATAGGTCCACTTTAAATCAACATTAATCTTGTACTCATGGAAAACAAATTGGACAGGGTAAATCTGCTACATATGGTGGGAAGACTAATTAAAGGGTAGTCGTGCACTTCTGCCTCTTGTGGCTGAATGGGTTAACAACAAAACAAATTATCCTGACAAAAAAAACAGTCAAACCTTTTCTTTTTTACCCATTATCAAAAGTAAAAAAATATTTAAGAAACCTAAAAAATATGATCCTGGCAATGATCCAAACAATTTGGATCACGCTCAGACAATTGATCACAATAATTTGTTTTGTCTCATTTGCCTCTCAAGGCTTCCGTATAAACCACTTCCTATTTGAACTGAGTTTAGGTTTAACAGGTAACATAGATTCAACGTTTTTGACTTTATTTATCAATGATAAATCCATCAGCATACTAACACCGTTCAAAAATAACATGCACCATGGTACCTTGGAACACAATCATCTTCATTATCATATCCATGTTGGATGCATGGATAGTTTGTTCAGTCAGTATTTCTTTTCAATCAGTTGTCATTACCAACACCTTGTCTTGACGTGCAGTTTAGACATCGACTGTTTGCATCTTTTATTAGTGTTGGCATCAAGTAAAAAAGTGTCTGTTTTGTGTTTCATGTGCTCTCACTGATGTACAGTTCACTCATCCTCACAGTAGGGGGCACTTTAGCTCTACTCTCACAGTCCCCAGGTCTCAGCGTGTCCTCAGGAGGCATCTATCCTGACGCACTCAGGATACACACCAACCCGTACCAAGCTGCAGCACCCTCTGGAAGCATCCATTAGAGATTCAAGGCAATAGCTGCACAGTGGCTGTTTTGCATCAACACCTTTCCATCTGACCTCAGAGGGGAACTACTCTGACATGTAGTCCTGGGACTCTGTGGAGGACTGGTGGGAAGAGGAGTGCATTGACGACTGGTGGGATGCAGGTGGGTTGTCCAGGCCAGATGTCATCAGGGGCAGATATAGATCGTCCATATTGGGCATCACAAGCACTTTCTGTTGAGGGGGAAACAAATTAAATAACCATATTTATCTAGATAATCAAATGTCAGTTACATGCAGTTATCTGCCTGTTTTATCACCCTTCCCCTGCCCAAACAAGTAGAATCTCATTCAATTTCACCAAAAATGTATTTATTCATTTAGCATTTGGCCTAACTTTAAAAGATAACATACTGGGTATCCAATGAATCCACAGATGGTTTAAGCCTAGCCAAAAGCCAGTATATGGATTCTGCTACTGAATTAACAAAAGAGAGTCAGCTGCATATAATAAAACAATCAATAAAAATTGTTTAAAAAAATGTAAAGTCCCTGCAACCACAAAAGGTCCTTGAGCATACATTCATAAATGACCAAGAATTAGGTGGATAGGTCAAGTAGTAAAACTAATTTATCTTGAATTTGCGTATAGACAGATTCACTGATGGACTTACCTGGAATTCACACTGCAGTTTTTTCTCGATCCACTCGGTGACATGAGTGAAGGTAACCTCCCTCTCCCCGAGTGTCGGTCTCACGTGAAGGTCTAACCTGGGAGGCACCCGGAAACTGTACCTAAGAGGATAGAACAAGAGAAAAAAACTGCATGAGAAAGAAAGGATCCTTTGAAGTTATGGTGCGAAACGACAAGTAAACTCAGTACCATATCCTGTCAGTAGGGGGAGGGGGGATGTTTACAGCCAGAGTACCGGAGAGCTCCAGGACTTCGACGCTGAGCATCAGAGGCATGTTGGACACCTCAGCTATCTTCTTCCTGATGTACTCGTTCTCTGTGGCTTTCTGGAAATACTTGGACTTTGTTATCTTGTCCACAAATCTCAGGATCTTCCTACTGGTGCTGCCACTGGTGTGCCTGGGGATTAGGACAAGGGCACAGACTCAGTGAAGGACTGTGAGTGAGACCTTTCACTTTCAAGGCATATCCCAATTAGTGGTGCTACATCAGCTGTTTTCTGCCAACCATTGAAGACTTGAAAATATGTGGAAATCGCCTTATTTACAAAAAAAATTACATTTTAAACTTCTATTTATTTATTATTTGCCATTCAAGTGGTAGTTAAATCTGAATCTCAATGAGTTTACGAAATGTCAAAGAAAAGTGTGTTAATCAGTGGTTTTGGAAACGTTCTTTCTTCCATTTCTGCCTTTGAAGGACTCAAAAATGAATTGGATCTTTCCTGAACGGTGACCATACTGGATACACTTATAGGAGGTGTGCTAGATTTAATTAAAATGACAACGAGAATAGGAACTAGGAGAATAGGAGAATAGGAACTGCAATTATGTGACCTATGATCAATAGTGTATTGGATCTGTATGGTATAAAGGTGTTAATTTACCCGTCAGCTGCTAACCCTGAGCTCTTATCTCCCAGAGACCCCTGCAGCTCAGAGGGCGGGGCTTCTTCTTCATCAGACGAGCCTGCGCTGGATGACTCTTCATCACTATCAGCCAGAATACACAGCCTGGGCTTGGAGCTGAAAAACACACCATTGGTACCTGTTAATAAAAAGCTTCTAATTCCTCCTCCAGCATGCTAACATCCACCTCTACACTCTGATGGACCTCACCCAACTGGCTGGGTTTCTGGAACGCTGTGAGACTCATCCTCTCCATCTTTACCCAGCTTACACAGGTTCATCTTAGTCTCCAGGGTCATCTGAAGGCAGCCTGTGTACACCACCTCCAGCTCCAGCCACAGGCCTTAGGGATAAAGGGAGGCAAGGAGAGAGAAGGTGAATAAAGACAGCTTAGAGGTTCAAATCAGATCTGAAAGGACGTCAGAGCAAGTGAGGATTGTTTGGTCATGTTATTGTCAGCTAAGCCAAGAGGATTACTAATCTCTTAAACGGGAGACAATTGAAAGCTTTCGAGGGCGGGTGCATCAAACGGAGATAAAACAAATTAGATCATGGCCTAAACTGACTACAGGATTGTGTCTGAGGGAAGAAGTCGAGACGGTCTGGTTGACCTTTTTGTGACTCCTCAACATACACAGTGGTATTAAAAAAAAGCCATAATTAGCTGCTCTAGTGTTGTATTTGATACAATCCTGTACAATCCACCCATCTGTGTACTATCTGTATTACAGGTACAGTAAAAACAGTGAAAGTCGGGATATCAGGAAAACACAAAGGCCATGTAAAACAAAAAAAGGAAAAATAAACAAGAGCAAGTATAGATGCATTCTTATGCAAAGCAGCTTGTACTGGTGTAAATACACACAATGTACCTCTGCGGTCCAGTGTAGGTGTGGAGGTGCTGAGGACTTGAGGTAGACAAGTGCCCATGTCCAGATCGGCCAGCTTCAGCTCATTCATGAAGTATGGCAACTTGTAATGAGACAAACTTTAATTAACAAATATGCTGGGCAAAAAGACATAAGACAGAATCCAAATGAAATCCGTGATTTATTTTTAGAAATACTTGATACAAATGAGCGAGCATGGGAAACCTGCTTTGTGTGTATGTGAGTGTGAAGGACAGAGGAGCAATATAGTAAAAAGAATGTGGTGTGTCAAAGAGGAGAGCAGGAAATGAGTAATGAGATGCTGCAGCGCCATCAGTGCTCCACTACTCACTCCCACCTCCTGCCTTCGGAGTGCACTATCAGCAGACTCTCACACACACCACACACAAACACACACACTGACAGAAAAAGACAGATGCAGCGTTGATGTGCCTAATGTCACATCTTTTGAACTTGTGCACAAAGCATTGATGTTCAGGTCGTATCATTGTGTGACAAAGCTTGTAGAGGTCTGACCGACAGTATACTGACTCCTGCCAAACTGTGTTATTAGGAGAGAGAGAGAGACACACACAAAAGCACACACAAGCACCAACTGCGGCACGTAACAGTCACTATGACACTTATGATGGTGCTGCTGATTTTGTCAATTTACAGATAAATGTGAATATGAAAAAAACAAGAGCATCAGATAAAGGAAGTTTTGCAGATTTTCAGACAGCTTTGTTTTATTCACAATCTAGGATTTACATGCAATGAACAATGTCAGACTTCCTTCTATGTTGCAAGCACCCTGAATACAATTTGTTCCACCAGATTTTTTAAATTCCCGTCGATTTTAAAAGTGTAATCAAGGTTTTATACCCATTGGCCAATACAAATACCACAGTCCTTGTTTTCTTTTTGGTCATGTAGCACCAATTTCCTAAATATTTGTGACTTTTTACTGCATCAATTTTATGTAAGAAGACCATCTGTCCAGCATTAACATACTTTCATAAGACCAATCATTTTCTCCACCAAGGATTAAAATTATCCATAAAAGGAAAAAAAAACAATCCTCAACTACCCTCACCTTGATCTTGCTCAGTTTCTTCTGGATCTTGTGCGCCACCTGATCGGTCCAGTACTTCTCGCGCAAGAAGTCCCAGAAGATCCGCCCCACCAGGGAGTTGACCCAGGTGGGCTGGCCCTCTGCAGAGGGTCCTTCTGCCCCTGGACCAGCACTGGGCTCAGCTCCAGCCTGACCTCCAGATCCATGCTCTTCATTCTGAATCTGCAGGGTTTAATGAAAAATGTGTGTTTAGAAGGCATATAATAATAATAATAATACATTATATTTATATAGCACTTTTCTATAACTCAAAGACGCTTTACAGTATGAGGGAGGGTAGACAAACAAGGACAGGCAAAAAATAAAATAAAATAAATAAATAAAATAAAATAAACAAGGCAGTCAAGAGGAAGTTGATTGAGAGGGGGGGAGGGGGGCTTATGGGTAGACAGAGTTGAAGAGATGGGTTTTGAGGTGGGACTGAAAGACTGTGAGGGACTCAGAGTCACGAAGATCTTGGGGGAGGGAATTCCAGAGCGTAGGAGCTGCCACTGAGAAGGCTCTGTCCCCAAAGCTGCAGAGTTTGGATGTGGGAATGGATAGGAGTCCGGCTGCGGTGGATCTGAGGGACCGTGGGGGTTGATAGGGGGTGAGAAGGTTTGTGAGATAAGGGGGGGGCCAGATGGTGGAGTGCTTTGTGGGTGAGGACCAGAATTCTGTAGTTGATGCGATGGGAGACAGGAAGCCAGTGAAGGTCTTTGAGGACTGTAGTGCTGATGCCGTAAAGAAGTGAATTGCAGTAGTCAAGGCGGGAGGAAATGAAGGCGTGGATTAGTCGTTCGGCTGCAGGACGGGTGAGAGAGGGTCGGATTTTTGCAATATTGCGGAGGTGGAAAAATGAGGTTTTGACTGTTTATATATATCTGCACAAGCTTCTCAGAGGTTATATGACATGCTCAGGTGCCATATTTCTTTTTAATGTTTGCTATTTATATGCTAGTCTACCCCAATTTATGCTGACTCTCTTACTGATTCTGAATCCTTCTTCTAACACCAGGACAGACTGTCTCTACATGGGGTGCCAATCCCAAACTGAAGCCAGGATTACTCAGGTATACTGCAGTTCCCTTTATATTAACATCCTTTCAGCCAGGTGAAACTTGATATTTCTGCACATTGACATTTGGTGTAGTCAGCAGGGATGGATTTAGCTGAACCAGCATCCCAGACAAGGCTGGTCTGAGTGAGAGCAGAACAGTGGAACAGCAGCTGATATTGACCAGCCCTGATCAATGGAAGTATTAGCAAGACACGCAGAGGGTAAGTAGAGCAGAGAAAGCGTTCTGATATCTGCTCACCCTTTACAACCCCCAGTACTGCGGAGTTACCCTTGACAATACATCGAAAAGCTGAATAAAAGTGTTGCTCATTGACCTTCTTTTGGGTCGTGGGGCTTCCCTTGTCACTCTGGCAGGGGCTCTGGGTGAGATTGCAGCTCTGCATGCCAATTAGTTGCGTCATGTAGGAGCTGTAGTCCAAAAGCGTTCTAGTTTTCATGGCTCCTGGCAACTCATTCAGCTCCTCTGTGCTTCCTTTGGCAGTGTCTCCAGCACATGGTGTTTCTGAGTGACAGAGAAAAGACAGACTTGGCTGATGGAGTTGGTAAATATAAAGAAAGGACCATTTTGCATAATCTGTCCTGTACTGGATTTCATCAATGACTTTTACAGTTGATATGGCTTAATTCCCAACCCAAAACGTTGTCTTACCTGCGTTCTCCTCCTCGCTCAAACTGCTCGTGGCTGCAGTCTGGGAAGCAGACAGGAAGTGCTGGAACCACTCCTCCTTCTCTCTTCCTGTTCGGCCAAACAGGTACAAGGTGACAGGAAGCTGGTGGTCGGGGGCGATGTTTCTCTCTGCCCTTTCTTCCTCCCCCTGCCCTTCCACCACGCTCTCCTCCCCAACCTCCCCCTCAGCCAGAATGAGGCAGATGGGGTACTTCCTGTTCCAGATCCTCTTGCGAGCCAATCCAGGCGGCAACAGAGACACCTGGGATTAAATGCATAATATGTCATTTTCTGCTACTAGGAATCAAAACAATAACAAAAGACAACGTTTGCTGGCATGTAAAGTAGTGTGAAAGAAAGTGTGTCCTTGCAATCAGCTTCCCGTGGTTATAATTACTATATAATTATAGCACAAAATCAGGTAAACACAATAAATAAAGCAGTTAAGCATGTTAAAAATGACTGTGTCATAGATGTATTTCAGTGGACATAGGATGGTTGGGCAGCAAGCTAACGGCTAGCATTGAGTCAGCTGGTTTCCCTGAAGTTTGATTTATAAAATCCTTCATCTTCTTAAATATATAGCTTAAAAGACGAAATGGAAAAAAGTGTCTTGTGTATGTGACTTGCAACTAGATATACAATCAATTGATATCAGCTTCTGGGAGAAAACCACAATGCTAAGCAAGAACAAAGATTATATGTCAAAGTTCAAATGACACTGGTTCTTACTTTGACATTTGAATATTCATTGAAATTTGGAATGATGTTAGTACACAACCTAGCAACATAAATACCATAAGTCTTCTTGTTTTTAGTCATTTTAATGCAGACATGTATATTATGTCGAAGTAAGTTTACTTTATTTTCCTTCTACAAGAAATGCTGGAAGCTACAAGTTGAGTTGACGGTTCACCATGACCTCAGCACTCCCCCACGTTGATTATATTGTGTGTTAGCTTTATTTCATCACACTATAGGAGCAATCGTAGGCTGCTACTGGAACCGGGTCAAATTTATTCAGTGCATCATCACTTCAGTTGTAACCCTTCTGGTCTTTCACCCTCAGTGTTAGATGACAATATGGGTGCAGAGAGATAAGAGTTCAGGTGAGAGGTCACCTTCTCTTTTACTCACCTCTGAGCGACATGCCTACCCTGGGTCCCAGAAATGAGTCTATTTTCTGTATATCACACTGACCTTGCAATTGGCCAGCTGGTAAGTGCGCGAACGCAAAAAGACGGCCTCCTGGGGCGTCTTGTCGAACGCTGCCCACCGGGGGATGTTGGCCCGTGGGTATGCCAGACGCAGCCGGCTGCCCTCCAGGGTGACGTACACAGAGTGTGTGATGGAGGGGTTGAAGGTCTCAGGGTCGTAGCTATGTGTCTCATTCATCCAACCCTGGTAGAAAATAATGAGGATATTTAACCACCAGTGAGTCAGAAAATATGTAAACCTATAGCATCAAATCGAGTCAGGAATATAATAGATATTATATTCACTGTGAGTGGTTCAAACTGCGACAATACAGCTCAGCAGGAGGGGAAACATGAGACAGAATATGCATCTAATATAACACTGTGGACGAGTAATTGAATTAGCCCCAAGCCTGTTGTTAGTTATTACTCTATTCTCCTAAATTGCCGTATTCGAATTGCTTACTCTGCATTAATTTAGCAGCGTGCCCCACTCTCTCAGCAGAGCGGTCAAGAAGTGCTCTGAGAAAGCTATTATCAAAATAACCTGTGTCTGAGGGAATTTTTCAATACCGTAATTACCGGAAAAGTAATCCATAAAACACCAAAGACAGCAATGAAGCCATCCAATGCCTCACATGGCAACTGCTGTTTGTTGTTTTGATCTCTCGAACCTTAGAGCTTCATCCTCATTTACATATAACCAAATGTGTAAAAGGAAAACAGAGAGTGGCTTCTCATTCTCTGCTACACTTACATGTGTAACACATTTGAAAGAAAAAGAGAGAGTTTGAATTTTTTTTTAAAGGAAAGAGACGGATGAAATGTCACCCTAATCACCTGATCTTTCTGTGTGTACAAACATATTTTGAGATTGACAATAAAGTTGACTTTTGACTTTGACTGATGTTTACACCTCTGTTATATTTGAATAACTTGTTACCTCTAGGATTTCTCGATCAGCGAGTCCTTCATCCAGTAGATCCATGTTCAAGGTCTTTGATTTACTCCAACTGGAAGACGAACGTCGTGGAGCAAACATGAACACCACCATCAGGCCCAACATGAAGCCACATGCAACCCCCACGGACAGACCAGTCACATAGGAGGGCAGGGGCAGCACGAAGAAGCCATAAGCTAGAAGCCCCACAGGGAAGAGCCAGTGAAGAGGCAGCGAAGATCCTGGCACTCTGACTCGAGACTGGGCGTAAGATCTATGATGTGTCTCTCTGGATCCATTCTGGAGCTCCACCACCTGAATCACATCTCCATAAGTGCGGATTTCCAAATGGCTGTCACTTCTATGGTGTTCTAAGGGTGTAGAGGATTCTGTTAAGGAGGCTTTTCTGAGTCTTTTTAGTGGCCTGTCACACGCACCTTCAGCTCTCCTCCGGCACTTAAGTTCTGCATCTTCACTTCCCATTTCTCTCCCGCAGCTGCCTTGGGATGTTGGTGAGTCTTCGGCACCAGAGGCCTTCCCCTGCTTGGCGCTGCCAGAGTTTTCCTCCCCCATTATCTTACTCAGCATGCTTAGCGGATCCTGCATGGCCTCGGAGAACTTCCTCCGTGTGTCCTCCAGCTCAGCTATCAGGGAGCTGCCCCGGGGCTCAGGGGGAGGCAGGCCGCCAGCAGAAAGAGGAGATTCCCAGTCATCATCCTCATACAGCCCTCCTGCTTCAGACCTGACCTCTGAGATTTTTGGATGGGTAACCTGCTTCCAGGGATGCATATGCAGCTTGGAGTCTGACTTGGAGAGGTTAACCTCTGGCTCGACCCGGCGGGAAATCTCTGTGCTCAGAGACTTGACCAGGCTGAGCAGAGGTTTCCCCCGCAGGGAGCTGCTCTCCCTCGGCTCCAGCTCTGTGGAGGAGGATTTGACAAGATTGCTGGTGAGAAGTATGTCAGCTGATGATGCTGACAGATCAGCTAAAGAGCCCAGGGAGGAGGGGGAGTGAGGCAGGAAGGGGGGCTGGGAGCGGTGACTGAGGTTCAAGTCGAAATCCATCCCCAGGCTGAGGTCAGGCTGGCTTTTCCTGTCTTCTGGTTTGTCTTTGGAAAAAGCCACTGTGGGACCGTCATTACGGCTGTCCAGGCTGAAGATAAGCTTGCTTTCTTCCATGTTGGTCATCAACAAGAAGCTATTGAGAGAATGTGGTCAACAAAACTGGGTCCCTGAAGACATTGAGCAAGGCGCTAGGGAGTCTTTAACTGCATGAAGATTTGTAATGTCCTCTTCGGGTAACTTGTAGTACATCATTTTGGATGCTGGAAAGTGAAACATATATTTAAAATGTTGTCATTTCCAAAGCTAAAACCACCTTGTATAGCAACATCATTATTTTCAATGGCAGCATAACATTTGACATTAAACCTCTGTGCTTTTTGTTCATCTACCGCTCTTGACTTCCTTCAAAAAAGGATCAGCAGAAAATGAAACGGTAAACACTTGAGCAATGATTGGCCGTTATCCAATATATTTTAAATTATTTCCCTGACCTTGATGAAACCAATTTTTTAGGCTACAGATAGTGATTTGTTACCATGTTGCAGTACAATTCAACACTTCTCTGCACTCTGTTTATCAGGAGAGATGTTCATTAGCACCAACCTGCTGAACTGTTTGTCAAATCTAATTAACAAAAAGTGCTGCTCTGTCAGTGCTTATCCTGCTCCAGACAACCCTGCATTACTCTAATCAATTTCTATTTCGGACTTAGTTTGGATCAGTTGGTGCTGACAGAGAGAGGAAAACCTCTGCTGCTCTGTGGAAGACGGAGTCAGCAAGGATTTGGCAGCTTTCCAGCCAGGGCTGAGGAAGAACTTCTGCAGGAAGACAGAAAATCAATGTCTTTGGTCTGTCCCTTGGGAGGGGAAAGTGTAGCAGAATGTGCTGTTATATAATAAGGAGGATTGTAGTTAAAGTCAATGATCAAACACATGACAAATGTACACTAATTAACGTGGGGGGCAGCCTTCGAGAAAAAACTGAGCAATGAAGTCCAAATGTACTTAGTAATGTCATTTTGAACAAGAAAGTTCACATTAAAGCAGCAACTATAACTATTATGTCAATCAACAAAGCAATGTTTCAACTTCCAACAGGTAAGCCCCAAGTGACTGCAGGCCATCCGATACGGAGAAGAAAGTTAAGTTCAATGTAGTCATATTGCTGACTACCAGATATTTTTCAATAACTGGAGGTAACAAGAGGCCAATTTGAAGGAAAAGTTAGTAAGCTTAAAAAAGTCCTTCACTATCCTAGTTCTACAGAATATTTTCTTTTTAGTATAGGGTATCAGAGTGGCAAATGGCAAAGTAACATTACACCCTGTGTATTTGCAGATGATGATGGTCTAGGTTTATTCCACAGTCTATAATGACTGGTAAAGCAGTAACAATGGATTAAAAGGGAGGGGAAGAAATGAAGTGAACATCAGAAAATCTCACTTTTATCTCTGACGTCAACATGGGATAGAATCCTGCTGTCTTTCCCTATCGATTATCCACTTAGCCTATCAATCCTATGACAATGGGATACAAAAAGACAAATACGATTTTTTTTCAATCTTAGAGAAACATAATTGAAACCCATTGGAGTGCGGTATGATTAAATGTGACTGTCTATAGCAGCCTGGCATCACACAATGAGACACAACGTTTATTTTAAAGGCTTAATCCTCACCCCAACTGCCATTTTAACCTAATGGCTGACACATTTGGCACAGCCCTATGTGTTTGTCTGGGTATCACAGGGTCAGTTTTAGCAAAGCTGCACTTCATCTCATTAAGCAAATCATTAAGCCAATATCTCCAGGGCTTAAAAGAAGGTTCACTGCTAATAGACAGTGTAAGCCAAACAATCAGGCATTTAAATGAGTCCCTTTTGTCCCATTAAACTTTGTGCATTTCAAGATAGGACAAATCCATCAAGCTGTCCTCACCATAAATCTTATATTTCCAAATAAAAGGCAGGTATTCTACTGCTATTCTATCATAACAACATGCGTTTGCTGCATGAGTTTAACTGCTGCACAGGACTTACCTGAATGTGGCATGTTGCACCAGCTGCTCCTGTGATCTCAGTGGCAGAGGTTTGTGTAGAAATGTGCTTCAAGTACAGGCTGCAGTGCACAGTGTGGATGCTGCAGCGCGCGGGGTGCTGCGCGCGGGGATGCGCACCATCGCAGTCTACAAATATTCACTGAACTTCACTGAATGTGTAGTCAATCTTCGTGGCAAAATCATCCAAACACCTTGAAAATATGTTACAGTTCAGCTTTAAAATGAATGCGTCAGCAGCACCGTGTCACACCGCGTCTTCGGGAGACGTCAATTCGGGAGACGTCAATAATGTGATTATTGGAGCCCTGGCTGCAGCCTGGACGCAGCGGTAATCCAGATTAGACTCGAGAGGCCAACAGTTGACGGAGCGGCGACTCCTCTCTGCTGCTGTCCTCAGCGTCAAAACACACACTGAGCTCAACTCTGACACCGCAGTCCTGTACGCACCATTATGTAATGGCATGACCTGGGAAAATGATGCTCAAAGTTACTGAACAACATCCTTTTATTCAAAAAGACAAAATCATTCCTTGTCATTGACTATAAGGGATGGACAGATCTGGTTTTAACTAATTTATATTATGTATCTCACTATTGAGGATTAATTTAGTTTGAATAAGGCAATTATCTACAATCTTCAAAGATTTGAAAGGCTTTATTATGCACAATAGCTACAGCATAGTTGTTGACAATGAAAGTCCCAGGTTACTCCAACAGTGCAACATATAGTTTACCTAAAACATGAAAACAAATCAAAATAAAGCAAGACAAACAAAATATGGAAAGAGTATGCTGCAAGGGACTCGACATTTACAATTCAGGAATAATTCAATGAATTTGTAAAATAGAATTAGATCAAAAATGAATGTAAAATGTAATACAGTAAAGTGGAATTAAATATGGTTTAGTGTAAAAAAATATATACATATGTGGACCGTAAATGAATGTGTTGTAAACACAAGTAAATGAGTAAGTGTGTACTGCACAGAGCCCAGTCTAATGTGTCTAGTGTGATAAAATTCCTCTTAATTTGGTGCTCTTCGTCATTAATTTTGTATATGGTAAAGGAGTCAACACAAAGTATAGAGAGAACAGAGCTAAAGCAGGTTAACAGCTAGCGTTTGGTTGTTAGGATGTGCATGTTTTAATGTTGCCTTCTGCCCTTTTCAACCAGGACCCTCAGAGCGGACCAGACACTGTGTGGGAGGTGATGACTGGCCTTTAAAAGCTGACTGCACAAAGTGACATGAACAGGTTTAAACACTTTGATTCCAAGTAGCATAACATGTTACATAAAACAAGCGATACTTTGCTTATTTGTCCGAAGTTCATTTAATACAAAATGTAATATACATTTCAATCTTTGAAATCGGATGCATCACATTATAGAGATCCCTGTTTCGGGGTATGAGACAGAAATTCATGGTGTTGACTTACAGCTATATTAGTGCTATGGGACCTTTGGAGCAATATAGAGAACAAAGTGCTACAAAATCCCCCCAAAAAACATCAAGAGTATTTGGTGAGTCTTCTGCCACCTGTTGGCCAAACTGCAGAAGAAAACATATTTCAGAGCAGCAGAGGGATGCAGGAAGTAATGCTATGCACAAGCATCGCTGGATTGCAAAAAGAAAAATGTATTCTTACTTTGGAGGACAAACAAAAAGAGTGATGGCCAAATAAGTTGAACATGCTGCAAACCAATATCTCAGACAAACAATAAGGATGGAAAGCAAACGTGTATGATGCTTGAAGATTCACCCTATTGTGGCAATTGCAATTAGTTTCCCCTCAGGCAGTATTCATGGCAGCATTTCTGTCTGTGTTACATCATATTGGTCACTCCACTGTTTTTAAATCTGTATGATTTGGAGGGAAGGGACCTTGTGATTGACCAATTGATGAATACGTGTTTTGAAGTGTCAACATGGGGTCAAATTATCGTACATTTTACCACTTTAAGGCATTGTTGATCGTACATAGGGCAAAAATATTACTTTTGCAAAACTGGATACATTTTTTATGGAACAAATATTGACAGCCATGTTATATAAACAGTTTGAGGAAAAATGGTGGTGCATTTAGGCTCCACACATGAAGAAAGTTAGTCTGTGCGCTCTGCTGGGTGTGCACTCTTCTGTCGAATCAGCTGCCGGCTTTGGCAAAACGTTTTATGAACATTTTTACGAGATGACGGGTTTTGTCCCGTAAAAACGCTGCATGTGCGCTTTGAGATGACCAAGGGTATAAAACCGTTTCCCACATGTCGTACAGGAATAAGGTCTGTCCCCTGTATGTGTTCGTTTATGAACAATGAGGCTGTGTCTCTGATTGAATGCTTTTCCACACAGATCACATTGATATGGCTTCTCCCCTGTGTGGATCCTCATGTGCACAATCATTTGCACTTTTTGGACAAAGGTTTTCCCACAGTCTCGACATTTAAAGTCTTTAGTCCCTGTGTGTATTTTTGAATGTAATTGAACACACCCAGTGTTGGTGAACTTCTTGCCACAAATATCACAAATTAGCCGTTGGTTTTGAGCACTATGCAAATGCCTTAAAAGCTTATTCGTAGATTCACTCGTCTCCCTGTGTTCTTCAATGTGCTTAATTAAGGGGCCGATGTGCTGGAAATTCTTTCCACATATAAGACAATCAGGCAACACTGCTGCGTCCTTCTGCTTAATGCTTCCATTTTGTTTTTGCAAAGTTTTCCTTTTTGGTCCCTTCTTCTTTGTCTGCACTCCTCTGTTCTGAAGCCACTCCTCATCATCGTCACTGCTGTCACTGTCAGCTGGAGAGAAGTCTGAAGAGATTGGCTGCAATTCATAATTCACTTTTTGCAAAGTATTCCTTTTTCGTCCCTTCTTCTTTGTCCGCGCTTCTTTGTTTTGAAGCCACTCGTCGTCACCGTCATTGCTGTCACTGTCAGCTGCAGAGAAGTCTGAAGAGATTGGCTGCAATTCATAATTCACTTGAAGCTCAGTTTTCACACCTTCAAGAGAAGGTAAAATGACTTCAGGTGCTGGAGTGTCATTTCCGATTTCCTCTTCCTCCTCCTCCTCTTTGATTTTGAAGTTTGTCTGAGCCAAGCAGTAGTTCCCATTTGTGTTGTCTGTATCTGCACTGGTTTGAGAGAGGACTGGGACCTCAGCCGTGCTCAGGTTAGACTCTGCTTGTATTGAGGTCTCCTGCAGCACTTCCTGTCCAGTCAGTGGAGGTTCTGCAGCTACAAAGGAGACAACACTAATCTCAACAGGCTTCTTTGGGTTACAGCTGAACTAATTACTGAATACTCAATTAGATCCATAATCCACATTCAATGAATCTGCACAGGTTTTCTATAAATCCTGTGCCTAAACTTTGATGCCTGCCCAAGACTGACTTACCCTTACATGAACAGTGAGAACCAGGGAGTCACAATTATTTCAAGAAATAAGAGAAACACTACCTACCTACAAGAGGTAGGTAGTGTTTATCTTATTTCTTAAAATATTGTACAGAAGTTGGTTGTAGTATGAACCTTTTGAAAATAGCATTATTACTTTGACAAGTTGTCTCTAAAGATGAATGAAACAATTGAGCTGGATATACTGTATTAGGATTATAACATTAGTTTTTTGGAGTCCTTCATCATTATTTTTTGGAGGCACCTGGAAGCTTTTAGTCCTTCTTGATTATTTATCATTTTTGTCATTTGGATTGTCAGTGTAGTAATTTGTACTATGTTTTTTAATCTGTAGATACAATATCTATTGCACGTCTGTCCTGTGACAGGGTGCCCTCTCCTCTGTTGCTCTCCAGAGGTGTCTTCCATTTTCCCCCATCGACTGTATTCAAAGTTTTTCCCCGTAATGTGGGGTTTCCTCTTGTGCACTGCAGGGGTCTAATAGACATTTGATAAGATATGATAAAATGATTCCAGAGTAAAGTTACCAAGAAGCAAACCTGATATCTGGCGCAGATGGTGTAGTTTTGAACACTGACTGTTGTGCTCTTCTTTTGGTCCGTTTAAAGCTAACTTGTGTTTCTCCACCTCTCCCAATATCTTCTCTGACGCTGCCTGCAGCCGCTGATGAAAGGACGAGTTCAGCTGACTCATTGTGGAGACAGTTGAGTCCTCCGTGCACAGCTAAAAGAATGCTGGTTTTATACATAGGTTTTATATCAGCATAGACTGTTATCAAAGTGCAAGGGACAGAACCGGAAGCGAACACAGAAGCAGTTGTGACGATTGCTACAAAGATCCTATATTGAGATCAAGATGACTCACTCGGGGTGTCCTTTAGCGTGGATCATGAAAAATAATCATGTTATTCTGGTTTCTGTTAATATATTAAGCTTAATGTAATGTATATTTACTGGTTGGTAAAATGTAAATTCATAAGAATTCACCAACAGAATATCCCTTGAGTTGCAGCTGTTAAAAGCCAAGGAAATCCATATGATCAGCATGCTTTAATTGGATTCAACGTTTTTTCAGAGAATATAATTTGTTTCTTGCCTATATATTATTCAGATTTACAAAACTCACTTAAAACATGAACCTTGAACTAAGAACCAGTGGTTTTAAAATACATCTAGTAAAAGGACTTCACTTTGTCAAGCCATAACTTGGGAACAAAATGTTCCTTCAATAACATCTGCACAAAGCAACACATTCTTGCTAGCTATGGCCCTGTAATAATAGTTAGACTTTATGTCATAGGAGTATTTGATGTTTGGACAGACTGAAGGAAGGATAATAGTGGTGTTTATATTTTTACTTGATGTCCAGAGACAGAAAAAGATGAATAGGCTACTACATCGTGAATGACAGGATACTAAACTTTATTGTTCCTTATGCTGGAATATGATTTCAGTATAGAAAGACATTACACTGAACAATATGCAAAAATAAACACATGAAACAGTCTTGGCAAAAATTGCACCAGCTTAAAAGTGCAAAGCTTCAGCCTTCCTAATTATATACATAGAAACCTAAAAGAGAATTATGAACATATTTACATTCAATCTAAATGCATTAGAGTTCAAGGAGTTATTCTTCAAAATGAATCTAACTTATTGAAATATGATTTGAAATGGCAATCAGATATATCAGAAGCCTGATTGTTTTTACTCAGTGGATGGTTTTTCGTGAGTTTCGATGTGCACTTTCAGATTGGGGGCAAACCTGTACCTCATACCACAAATATGGCAGCCATACGGCCTCTCTCCTGTATGTGTGGTTCTATGTCTGGTCATCTGTCCGCTTTGGCCAAAACGTTTACCACAAATATCACATTCATAAGGTTTTTCTCCTGAATGGTATCTCATGTGTGTTTTAAGATGACTGCTAGTATTAAAAAGTTTGCCACACAGGCCACATTGATATGGTTTTTCTCCTGAGTGACTTCTTTTATGAATTGTAAGGTTCTGGCTCTGACTGAATGCTTTTCCACAAACATCACAGTGATAGGGTTTCTCCCCAGAATGGGTCCTCACATGCACAATCAGATGCTCTCTTCGATAAAAAGTCTTGCCACATTCTTGACAGACATACTCTTTTATGCTTATGCTTCCGTGTATTCTTTCATGCAGCCGGAGACAACGCATATTGGCAAAAATCTTGCCACAAACCTCACAAAACATGTTTCGTTGTGACAATCTTTTACATGAATGATCAGGTCCTGTGTAGACTGCAATGTCATCCCACAAGCAGTGCAGTCAAAATTGTTCTCATGTGTTTTTATGTGCTTCATCAAAGAGCCAATGTACTGGAATCCCTTGCCACAAAAATGACAAAAGCTGCGACCCTTTTCACTTTTAGCTTTGTTCTTCTCACTAGGGATTTCACTTTGTCCTTTGCTTTTATTTGTGTTGGTCTGTTCTCCTTTGTTGTTCACTGACTCCTCATCCCTGTCACTGTTCTCACTCTCAGCTGCCGAGCAGTCTGAAGAAACCGGCTCCAGTTCATATGATATTTCTCCCTCTTGCAGATCTTGCTCACTTTTCACAATTACAGAAGAAGGGAAATAATTCTCCTGTGTTTGACCGTCATCCCAAAGTTCCTCCTGCTCTTCTTTTATCTCTGGCAGCTCAAAGTCTGACTGAACCGAGCAGTAGTTCCAGTCATTATTGTCCAGATCTGCACTTGTTTGAGAGGGTCCTGGGATCGCAGCATTAAAATGTGACTCTTCTGGTGTTGAGGGTCCTGGGTTCTCCTGCAGCAGTGAGGCATCACACTCGTCTTCTTCACTTTCCACTGTGCTGCTGGTCAGTGAACGCTCTTTAGCTGCAAGAAAAAGGTGACCAAATTACCCAACATGTTATGTTTCCATTTATAGTAGGGTTTAAACAATTTTCTTGAGAAAAATAAGTATATATATTATAGGTTTTGATTATAATTATTGATGCAGTAATGTGTTTATCACAGCTGGTAAAGGTGGAGCTAATTTGAATGACTGTGTAAGGTAGCTTGTGGATTTACTCCAGGTGTAACTAAAGTCTTATTTAAGTGTTGATTCAAATTCATATCATTAATCCAAATCTCCAAAGTAACTAAAGGTATACATTGGATCTTAGATCTTTGGATCATTAGATCTTAGAACAGCAAACTCCCTTGGAATTTGTCAATTAAAGACCTATCTTTTAATTTTGGGTAATTTGAGTGGTATCACTCTTCATGTTTGATTGTTTTATGGTTTTGTGATCCAACTCTTTCTGTTTATTTTGACAAGTTTACAAATTTTTTTTATTTTTTCAACTTATTTTTAATTATGTTCCTTACTCTTTATTTGTACTCATTGTTATTTGTATGTACTTGTCTTGCTCTGTCAAGCACTTGGGCTGCATCTTGCCTGAAAGGTGCTATATAGAAAAAAATAAAGTTTATAAAATATATGTAGTGGAGTAAAAGTGCACTTTACCTCTGAATTGTAGTGGGGTAGTAGTACAAAGTAGCCAAAAATTGAAACACTCAAGTAAAGTACAGGTCCCACAAAATGGTACTTAAGTACAGTAATCGAGTAAATGTACTTAGTTACTTGATACCACTAAATATGAGTCCCAAACCTGGTTTCTTCCGCAGATCCAGCGGTGGTGGGGGACTTCCAGCCTCCTCTTCACACAGGTCGGCACCACCGTCCGCTAACAAAGCTAACTTTATGGTTTTCTCCACTTCTCCGAGGATATCCTCCGCGGCTCTGTACAGCCGCTGATGAACAAACAGCCTCAGCTTAATCAGTGCTGTGTCCATGTCTCCAGATTTAATGATGGCACAATAATATTACCAATAGTATCAGAAAGAAGGAAGATAAACGTAGCTAACCTAGCTTAAACCATAGAAGTATTAAGAAAAAGCTCGAACGGTCGCTTCTTCTTCTTTTCGAGTCGTCGGCTAGCGAACCAACTTTAAAGTAGCATACCGCCATCTAGTGTGTCGGCGTGGGAGGAGAACTCACATCTGGATTATATAACTAACCATAGCTTACTTAATGTGTCTATTAATGGCATTCTTATTATTTTCTTTGACAATTCTCTTATTACATACAGTACATTATTAATGGTCTGTTTTGGTTTAACACTTAGAGTTACATCTCTTCAAGGTGACAGATTTGATTGACTTTCCCCCATTGTTTATGTATAGTATGGATTGAAAACTTGTATGCCTTGATCGTGCTATGAATACCTTCACTCTGCGGTAGTTATCTTCCTTTTAACTGTTTAACCTGTATGTAGGAGTTATAGCAGAGAAATTCAAATGATAATTGGGATTATAGTCGAAAGGAAAACAACATACTTACATTTTGACAAGTGACAATAAACCCAACAAACCAAGAATTTAAATGTTTATGAAATGCATTTATTACATTTTATATAGGTTTCTAACTACCCCATAAAAAACCGGCACAATGCCATTGCATTAAATATACAGACATATGAGCAGTAAAGCAATACACTTTTTAATGTCCTTTATACATAAATATGTGGCCCTGGTGTAGCAGGGAACTCACAAACTGTCAGGAAACAAAACCCTCTCTCTTTTCCTCCGTACCCACATTTCCTTTTTTTGTTGTTTTACGACCCCCCCCTTACAAAAAACGAAGAGACAATTTAGTTTTGAACTCTCTTAGATGAACGACGCAAGTTGATTTAGTGTTAAAGATAAAGAAAATTCATCATTGCCTTTGTAATGGCATGTTTTTCATATATATTTTAATCTAAAACTGCATATATGTTTATATTTAAGCTTACAAGATGGTCTGCCTGGTTAATGTTAGCGGTTTCACTCAGTGGCTGCCTTTTCATGAGATTTCAGGTGCAACTTCAGACCAGGTGCATACCTGTATCTTATACCACAAATATGGCAGCCATAGGGCCTCTCTCCTGTATGTATGGTCCTATGTGTAGTCATTTGCCCGCTTTGGCGAAAACGTTTACCACAAATATCACATGGGTAAGGTTTTTCTCCTGTATGATATCTCATATGTGTTTTAAGATGACTGCTTGTATTAAACAGTTTGCCACACAGGCTACAATGAAACGGTTTCTCTCCTGAGTGACTTCTCTTATGAATTGTAAGGTAAGTGCTCTGACTGAATGCTTTTCCACAAATATCACAGTGATAGGGTTTCTCCCCAGAATGTGTCCTCATATGAACACTCAGATGCACTTTTTGGGAGAATATCTTGCCACAGTCTTGACACACAAACTCTTTCATGTCTTTATGAATTTTTTCATGCAGCCGGAGGGAACGTAGTTTGTCAAAAGTCTTTCCACAAACACCGCAAAAACATGTTTTGTTGTGATTACTTTTCAAGTGAGCTATCAGCTCTTGTTTGGACTGGCATTTCATCCCACAAACAGTGCAGTCAGTTGACTTCTCGTGTGTTTTGATGTGCTTCATCAAAGAGCCTACATACTGGAATCCCTTGCCACAAAAATGGCAACAGCGACCTCTTTTTCCACTTTTAGCAGGACTTTTGTCATGGGGCAATAATGCTTGGTCCTCCTCATTAACGCTGCCACTTTGTCCTGGGAATATTATTTCGTCCTGCTTCATTGTCTGTTCTCCTTTGCTTTTCAAACCCTCATCATCACTGTCATTGTTCTCACTCTGAGCTGCAGAGCAGTCTGAAGAAACTGGCTGTAGTTCATATGATATTTCTCCCTCTTGCAGATCTTGCTCACTTTTCACAATTTCAGAAGACAAATACATCTCCTGTGTTTGACCGTCATCCCAAAGTTCCTCCTGCTCTTCTTTTATCTCTGGCATCTTGAAGTCTGTCTGAACCGAGCAGTAGTTCCAGTTATTATTGTCCTGATCCGAGCTTGTTTGAGAGGGTCCTGGGATCTCAGCATTACAATTAGAGTCTTCTGGTGTTGAGGGTCCCTGGTTCAGCAGTGGGGCATCACACTCATCTTCACTTTCCACTGTGCTGCTGGTCAGTGAACGCTCTGCAGCTGTAAAGGTATTAGATGCAGAAGTTACCCAACATCCTGTTCAGCTTGCAATTTAAGTAAATGTATTATAAAATATATATACAGTACATTGGTATATTACTTGCTTTCTTATTTGGGGGCCCTATACCCTGCATTTTACTGTTAAAGATGCCAATAACTTTAATTAATGTATCCCGTAGGGAAAACGTTATAAAAAAGCCCATTGTACATTTGTTTACTCTAAGGGAGCAAGTTGAACACAGCCTTAGACGGAGGTTACACTAAACCAAACTTAAAAATGCATTTACAGGAGCCTCAAACCTGCTTTCATTCGCAGGTCTAGCAGGTCCTGCAGACGTCCAGCCTCATCTTTAGATGGACCTGCCTCGAAAGCTAACTTTATGGTTTTCTCCACCTCTCCGAGGATCTCCTCCGCGGCAGTGTACAGCCGCTGATGCACAAACGACCTGAGCTGAAACATTGCGGCGTCCATGTCTCCGGAGAGGTTTGTGGAAAGCAAGAAGATAAACGCAGCTATCCTAGCCTAAACCCTCTAGCTAGTTATCCGCTCCACAATATTATTTCCGGTTTGAACCTTTCAAAAATAAAAGTGCCAATCCGAAATCATACAGTCTATGTCCCAAACACACAAATATTTGTAGAAATAAACTGCATAAATGACCTCCTTGGGATTGATTAAGTGAGGGTTTGACACCAGTACTCTTTGTCCATCTTCACGTTTGTTGTCCTTATATTAGGTTTACAATACTGATTCATCAATAATTATACCCAAGCAGTTGTGAATATTGTGTTCTTATGGATAACTAATATTGGACGAGGGTTTAATTTACAAGTGTTTTATAATAAATACATACATACTTATATAAATTAATTGCAAATAAACCTTTATAAATACAGTCTATGGAATACACTGTTAAAGTCTCTGATTGTGCGGCACATTTTAACTTCATGTTAAAGTCCTCCGGTTTTATTTTGAAGGCCTGAATATCAAACCGGATGGGATGTTTTTTTCCATCAGAGAGTGTCCCTGTGGTGAGATAACTTTTACCAAACATTGCCCAGAGAGCAGGGAAATGTCGTTCTGTAGTTTCTTCGGCGGAGAGGTCTATAAAGACAATTTTCAAACAGGTATATCTTCAAATGTGTGTACTTTATTCAAATGTCTGCTGTTTAGAGAATGTTTGGCAAAAGTAAATGTAACGACAACTAGCCACTGTTAGCTAACTACTCCATGTAACGCTTAATACATTTGCAATATCCGTCTAATGATGCACTAGTGTCCATTAAGGCTTCAGCTACAATACACCTTTAAAAGCTGTTGTTAAGACGATTCATTTGTTCACAGAAAGCTAAATGTATGGACATTGAACTTATGAAACAGTGTTGTAAGTTGTGTAACCCATGTTCAGGTTACACAACAACTATGTTGTAAAACTAATTGAAATAATACTTCCTTTTAAATATGACACCCTTAAACAAATACATAATTATTTCTAAGAATCATTACTACAAAGGCATATCAAATATTTTTTTTGTTTTGTTTTACTTTTTATATAACGTTGTTATATGGAAGAAATGTGTTTGTACCAAATCCTGATTAGAGCCACTATATTTTTGCACTATGGAATATGAGCCAGTGTTTTTGTTTGTGACAACACATTATGTAACAATGTCATTACCATAAAAAAAGTTACATTTTCTAATTTGTATGTGATGAAGTATATCCTTTTTTCAACGTTTTTTTGATGAAAGACCGGTACAATCATACCGGGTCACAATGAGAAAATAATGGTACTAACTTGATGTCAAGTTAAGTATAAGCTTGGGCCATCCTAAATCCTTAATAACAATAATATACAAATAGGTCTTATATGGCCTCATATTATTTTTTACGAACCATCCTCTCCCATGCTTTAATCCTCAGGAGTTTATGTCTGCTCCAAATGTGATCACCAGCTGTTCACCAGCCGCTCCAAGTACGAACACTCGTCTCCCTGGCCAGCCTTCACAGAGACCATCCATGAGGACAGTGTGTCCAAACAACAGGAGAGACCTGGGTCGTATAAGGTACAATCAATACAAAATAGATTGATTGATTTATTTTACCGTTAATGAAACCTGTCAGAGGACCCTATCAGTTAGAATGCTATAAAACACAAACCCTACTATCATCTTCTGTACATAGCTAGCTTTAGATAAACAAGTAAATTGATTAATGCATCAACTTCTGATTCTGCTGTGTTGTTCCAGGTGCATTGTGGGAAATGTGGAAATGGACTAGGCCATGAGTTTATGAATGATGGGCCAGGCAAAGGCATGTCTCGCTTTTGAATATTCAGCAGCTCACTGAAGTTCGTCCCTAAAGGTACGTCCCATATTTAGCAGTCATTAGCAAACACAATCCTAGACCATTTCCCCTGTGTGGTGGAAATCCCACACTTAATCACCTTCTGGTAAGAAATGAACAAATACAAGTTTAAACCAAAGTTGTGTTATTTAATAAAGAGTTAAAGCAGATAACCCTGCACTACTGATGTATTACAAAGATCTGACGCTGTTACAACAGAAACATAAGCACTTTATACAGGAATGAGACAAAGGAAAGGGGAAGGTCTCAGATAGGGAATATACATTACAGGCTATTGAAATGTTGGCCAGACGGGCGAAACTTGCATCCTTGGTAATCACAAACCTAAGATCCAGATGATAATTGCCTGACAAATGGTCAAGGCGACACCCTTCTGTCTGAGAACATTTAGTAGGAGTGAATTTAAACTGTTAGAAAATCAACCACAGATATACCTATATATATATATATTGACTTATGGTACATTTCCATGATACCCCAATTACATTGGTTAGGTCTGGCATTACACAAATGAGAACAGATACCACCCTAGTAAAGATGCATTGGCTGCGATGTACAACCTGTGAAACAACTCTATTCTCTCCCCTTTCCACAGATAAGGTTGATGGACAGTAAGGTGAGCCGTTAGAGGAAAATGCTGCTAGGGTTGTATCGGTTTCTCTGAGCTGCTGAAGGTGTGGACAGTAGATGAAGTGTTCTGGGATAAAGCCCAATCTGGGAGCGCCAGGGCTCTGAAGAATGATGTCCACACTGAACAGCATAAACAGAGGACTGGTCTCAACACTTTTTTACGATGCAATCATCACCATCTCAGTGTAGTCTCACAGTCACTACAGATTTGTAAACACTTATTTATAATGATTAGGAAATACACATTCATTCTCTTAGCTATTTTTACTGGCCTGAAGAAAAAACGTTCATATCAGCCACTGTTGCTTTTCTTGGATTCAGAACATTAATAATAATTATATTTTCACCCTTGATAAGCTTTATGTAAATTGTTTACAATGATGGCTATGCAAACTGAAATAAATCTATTTTAAAAGAATTTAACTCACAATGCTCTGCTTTTGATCTTATGTCTGTGTTCTTCTTTTCTCTTTTAAAAATGTTATTCAGTAATGAAATAAGTAGGACAGATGGAGTCTCTTATTCACGACCAAACTGGATCTCAGGTTCAAAACTACGGTATCAGAATTGAGAGAAAGTACTGCTGAAGTATTACTAATGTATATGGTATCCTGAGGTGGAAGGAGTACTCATATATTTTACTTGTGTGAAAGTAGTAGCACGTAGCTTGGAAATACTCTTTTTTTTTCAAGTCTACATTAACGCTACTTCTCAGTGATGTAAACGCTGCCCTCAAGTGGATGTAAAGAGAATGAGATCAGACATTACACAAGCAGGACAGAGCTGCTGACACTTGACACCTTCACTCAGACATACAAGTCCAGCTTAAGTCGGGCGACACTTGTAAACAAACATTTCAAACTAAAGAGAAATCCTGTTTGGTTCAAACACACAGACATTTGAAATGGATGAAATGTCATATTGCTCTTTCTCTGGTGGAGAAGAATACAAAAATCACCTCCTACCTGGTGAGTAGCAAAGAAGCATGATGTCCCACTGTAGAGAAAATTAAAGTCCACTCATGTTTTTTCTTCTTCTTCTCAGGCATTTATGTTTGCTCTGAATGCGGGCACAAGTTATTTTCCAGCATGTCAAAGTTTGAGCACTCTACTCCTTGGCCGGCCTTTTCACAGACTATTCACGAGGACAGTGTCACCAAACACCCTGAAGCATGGGGACCCTTAAAGGTAGATCAGCTTCGCAAAAGTAACACTGCTGGATGTTTTTTATTAAAAGAGAGGACATTTTCATCATTTACTTTACAATGTACATGTTATTAATCATGTAATGTTTAGGTGTTGCGTTTTGATGAACCCTTCTTGATGTTAATATCCCAGGTTAGTTGTGGGAAGTGTGGCAATGGATTGGGCCATGAGTTCTTGTACGATGGACCAAAGGAAGGGCTATCCCGCTTCTGAATATTCAGCAGCTCACTCACATTCATCCCTAAAGGTGAATTTGTCCTCACAAATGCAGTACATTACATCCTATTCATGCACTTTTAACCCTCTGTTTGTTTGGTCGATTTCTCTCCCCACAGAAAAGGTTGATGGACAGAAGGGTGAGCTGTGAAAGAGAAGAAAGATTTCTGCTGCTGAAGGTGCGGACAGTTGATGAAGGGCCTTGGAACAAAGCCTAATGGAGCTCCAGGGCTCTGATGGACATTGGCCTCACCGTGCAGCAAGAACAGACCAGTCTCAACCACTTTTAAACCAGGTCTCAATTCTACCACATTAAAATGTACAACGGAACAAAAACGATTTAATTATTAACTTACCCCTCTGGAAAACACTGGAACGATCCAAGTCACATTGATTGCATGCCTCACCACACCACTCTTGATCTATGAACATTTGTTAAACACACTCTTTAAAGTGTAATTGCATGCTTCGCTCAGTTGATGGGGCTATATGCCCAGGGACACAACGACATCCTGACTGCAGTGGGGTTTGAACCTGTGCTCCCCTGATCCGAACACCAACGCACCAGACCACTGCACCACACGCCTCCCAACAAGTCATTGTACAGTTTATCAACGACGACAACTTTTTCTTAATTTTTGTATTGAAGGCCTGTTGGATTTAATCAGCTCGCTTAGCACTGCCAGAAGCCCAGCCTGAAAGGTATTTTGTTGGTCCACCTCGATTCCTGGGCCTTGTGTGAATGCAGCAGCCGTTCGTCGTGCATCTCCTTGGCACGCAGGTCCTCATTCTCCTTGCTGACCATGGCACGGCAGTCCATCGCCATGATGGTGTCAAGGAAGCTGTCATCGCGTGCCCACTTTCCTAAGGTGAAATATGCAAGATACAAGATCAGTTTAATCGCAACAACGACACAACATTGTCCAAATACCAGAAGGGGAGCAGCCCATAACAGAGAGCCCCCCACGTCAGAGTCATCACTGTGGGCGATCTCCACCTCTGAGGCCCAATCCCAAACCACTCCCTCGACCCTACCCCTCCGTGACGGAGTGAACTCCGTCTGTAGCCACACTCGCAGCTCAACGAGGCTCCCTCCTGTCAGATGGAGGGAGTAAATACAGCGGCAAGCTTTGGGACAAACTCCCCTCTCTCCGGCAGAAACAGGAAATGCCGTAACTGTATGTAACAACGGTTTCAAATCAGCTTCTCTTAGACAAAAAATGTAAATTAATAACTCAAATAAAACTCCAAACATCTTTCATTGTGTTACTTTTTCTGTAAAGCTCTTTTAGTTTTAAACCTGATGTTTATAAGTTTCTTAGTTTTTGCAACAGTCTGTAAATATACACAACTTTATAATAAAATGCACACATTTACCTTTTTCTAGACTAAACACAGGTATGATCCTAAGTTAAAAAAATATGAGGTTATCATGAGGTTGTTAACATCGCAATTTATCAGTGGATGTTTGCTGGAACTACTTTTTAACAGCGTGTTTCCTGACGGACACACACAGCGTGACTCCGGTCAGGTAGAGACCGGTCTCAAGTCAGCACCGATGCAGACTCGCTGTTTGAGGGCTTGATAGCCCACTCCCCCTCCACACTCGTTGGTTTGGAACAGCACTTAATGTGGCGGACCCTCCGCGCGAACGGAGGGGTAGTGTGTAGGGGTAGGGTGTAGCATGTTGTTGTGTCCCCGAGACACTTCACCCCAAAGTGCTCCTGTGGGGATTGCCCACAGTATTGAGTAGGTAAGCTTTGGATAAAAGCGTCTAACAAGTGACATGTAATGATTCAAAAAGCTTTTGGTGGTCATATTGAATAACAAACCAATGTGGTTTACTTGTTATCCAGTTTAGCTGCTAAATGTTACCTTTACAAAGCTACGCTGAAAACACAGCAAAGTTCATATAACGGTATTAGGTTAGTTGAACCTAATATTTTTATAGTTAAACTCAACACTTTTCTTTGTGCTCCACATATCTAAATGTATAAAGTGTGTTTTCACCTCCGTTCCCTCCTGTTTGCTGCAGTATGGCAGCAGCGGTCAGGATGGGATCCTCTGTGATCAGATAGTGGTCCTGATGGTGTCCGCTGACCGGGCGCAGGCTGCCTACTCTCAGCGGGGGGGAACTGAACGTGGAAACTGTGTTTCTCTGAGGGATCCTCCATGTAGTCTGAGAAGCCTTCTGAGGAAACAAGGTCAAACTATTTAGGATAATACTATGAGAAGGAACAATGTTTAGGCAGTAAATAGAATTTCAATTACATTTCTACTTAAATGTGCAAAAATATTAGAACATCAGTCTTTGTGGCATGCAGGTAATCAACTGTTTAAGCTTTTACCATTAACATGTAGAATGAATGTTGCAAATTACTTGAAATTATAGCAACTACAATCTGTTGTTTACCTCTATGCATTAGCCACAGAGGTAGCATTATGTCCAGCTAGCATGCTAATTGCTAACGTTATATTATCGTTTTTATCCCGGAGGGGAAAACTAGTTTCTAATCCTGAGAGAAACACCTCGCCTGAAACACACGATTAGTGCCATGAGTTAGTGAAGCAAATTACAGAACATTGCACTTATTCACAAGTCAAAACGTGTTCATAGCGGGCATGGATGAGAATAGCTAGCTAGCTAGATGTTATTAGCCAACTTGGACCTAACGTTAGCAAGTTCTACCATGGCTAGCTCGATCTACTGAGCAAATAAAAGTACATCTAAGACCAGTATTGTGCAGATTAAAACAGTGCAGTGCATGTATTTTATTTTACCTTCGTAGTCTTCCCCACATGACTTTGCCAGGTCTGCTAACTTTGCTGATCCACTGAAACTGCATGCAGTAGAAGCTTCTGAATGTGGCGCTTCGCGTCCTTCGAGTAAATCGCCAGAAGCGCAGACACATCCTCATCACTCCAATTGATTTATTTAGTGTTGCTATAATAACTGCTTTCACAAAAGGAATCTCTTCGGATGTGCTGTCCAGCGAGGAAATACAATGGCCGCTTACAACAAAAAATTCTGAGTCAAACGGGCGTGGTTTGCATTCCGCACAGCCAATTGATTGATTGATTGAAAAGTTTATTAACAGCTTGTATATTGGGTACAGTACAGTACAGCTCAAAACATACAATTGTTAAGGGGATGCAGACCAGAGAAAGACTTTCGTCTTGTTTACATCAGGGTCCCCCATTTCCAATTCATCATATCATTTAAGACATATAAGACATATTTGACATACAGATGGCTTATTTACAATTTACATACAGGTGGTTTTTTACATACAGATGGCTTATTTACAATTTTCATTTTAGATTTCGTTCTAATACATCCTAACCGGACATTTAAGACATACCAAGTCTACAGATATACAGTTAGTAACAGAGTCTAAAATGCGAGTATATACATAGATGGGGGGGGGAAGCTGTCCATTGTACGACAGGTTGAGATTTGTACCATTACCGGGGCCAGTTTTTGCAATGCTTTCCCCGAAGGTGCTCTTTAAGAGAGGTTTTGAAGGTAAGTATAGTTTTACTTTCCTTTACAGTTGTGGGAAGAGCGTTCCACCTTGATGTGGCATAATTGCGATATGTGTATTCCCCTTTTTTTGTGCCAAATCTGGGTTTTACATGATTTGTGGAGCTCCCTCTGGTGTTATGATCATGGTATTCCTTGACCTTTGGGAAGAATTTGACATGTACATGGGTACCATAGAGGTGTAGTGGATCTTGTAGACCAGGCCCATTGCAAGTAGCTGTACTCTGTCGTCTACTCTAAGCCATCCTAGGTTGTCAAAGTGGGCAGAGGTGAGGTGGGTTCTAGATGAAAGGTCAAGCAGTAGTCTGACCAGTTTATTTTGCGATGTTTGAAGTTTTATTTTTAGCGCCTTGGAGGTGCTATGGTACCATGACGTGCAAGCATAGTCATAGTACCCTTGAATGAGTGCTCCTGCCAGAGTTTTCAGGGTGTTTTTGTTTACCAGAGAGGAGA